AAAAGTTTTGTAATAAATGTAGATTCTTTTATATTGTTGCAGTCGCCAAGCAGCAGTCGTTGGTGTTGTCTCCGTGCCCCCTTAGACGTAGCCGTAGCCGTAGCCGTGTCCGATTCCGAGTCCGAGCCCCATATCCGCTATGATGCTGGACGATGACAACTCAGATCTCTTGGTCTGTGCATCAGAAATGATGAAAGGTAAGTGAATAATCGAACTTCCTTCGAGTCTCTACAGACGCCTAATACTTGTATCTCCCCCTGTAGACCGTTTGTATTTTGTGGCGTTCAAGAAGAACATCAAGCCCAAGAATACCGTCAACACGCACTACTTCAGCATCGATGAGGAGTTCATCTACGAGAACTTTTACAGCGATTTTGGTCCCCTCAATATCTGCATGCTGTATCGATACTGCATGAAGCTCAACACGAAGCTGAGTGCCAAGTGCCATGCCAACAGAAAGATTGTCCACTACACCTCCATGAATCCGGCCAAGCGGCTCAATGCGGCATATCTGATCGGTTCGTATGCCGTAAGTATGGCATGAAGATCACTTGAAAAGAGCCAAAGTAATATGAATTTTCCTTGATTATAGATTATCTACCTGAATAAGACGCCTCTGGAGGCCTATAGGCCTCTGGTGTCTGGCGAAATACCCGCCTATACGCGCTTCTGCGATGCCAGCTATGGTCCCAGCAGTTTCAAGATCTCCCTGCTGGATTGCCTGAATGCCGTGCACAAGGGCCTGCAGGCGGGCTTCTTCAATTTCGATGACTTTGATGCCGAGGAGTACGAGTACTTTGAGCGCGTGGAGAACGGCGACTTCAATTGGATTGTCCCCCAGAAGTTTATTGCCTTTTGTGGGCCACATCAGAAGAGCAAGACCCTGCCCAATGGGTATCCGTGCCATGCACCGGAGCGATACTTTTCCTACTTTCGGGAGAACCATGTGACCACCGTTATTCGACTGAATGCGAAGGTCTACCATGCCTCCTCGTTTGAGAATGCCGGCTTCGATCACAAGGATCTGTTCTTCATCGATGGAAGCACACCAAGCGATGCCATCATGAAGAAGTTCCTCTCCATCTGTGAGACCACAAAGGGTGCCATAGCCGTGCACTGCAAGGCGGGACTAGGTCGCACGGGCAGCCTCATTGGAGCGTATATGATGAAGCATTATGGTTTTACCGCACTAGAGGCCATTGCCTGGCTAAGGCTGTGCCGCCCGGGTTCCGTGATTGGCCATCAGCAGCAGTGGATGGAGGAGTATGTACAGATATAGCCAGGAGTATAGTAATCCCACTAATCCCCTGCATTCTCTTTACAGCAAACAAAGCTGGTTGTGGTCCGAGGGCGAACGTATGCGCCGTCGCACTGGTGTTCCCATGCTACGGCACACGTATGGCATCTACAGCCTGGAGCTGAAGACCAAACTGACCGAAGCCTCCGCCGCCTCGAATCCCCCCGTGGATCTGCTGATGAATCGAGTCAAGGGGATTTCCCAACGTGTGGACACAATGCATCTGAATGACCAGGACACAGCCCTGGATTCGGGTGCCGACCAGACGGACGAAGAGATCTCCGAGCAGCGGCGCCTAGAGCGGAACGAACGAGCGCTGTACCAGCGCTGCACCACGGAAGATCCCAATTGCAATGTCAGCGACAACGACACGGATACGGCCAGCGCACCGGCCGAAGCCCCACCGCTGGCCGCCACCTACACAATGTCAACGCGACGCCGCAAGTCCCCGTCGGCGGCCAACAAACCCACAGTGATTGCCAACTCCCTGAGGCGCCTGGTCAATCCGGTGGTCACCCATCGTAGTGTGCACAGCGCCACCCCACTGATGACAACTCCGGGTGTTGTTTATGCCACGCCCGACGTCACCACCTGCACTGAGAAGAAGCTGCGGAAGCCCAGTGGCAATGTATTCGATGCGGCCCGCCATACCATCGCATCGACTGTGCGGATGACGCAGACGGCGCTGGAGAAGAAACAGGCCCAGACGCAGGGCGACAAACTGAATCAGATCAAGGCGCTGCGACGGCACCATTCGCGCTCCGTAAATGTTAACAGCAACAAGTAAGTCGCAGAAAATCCCTTAAATATTCGTACAGATTAGCATTTGCAATCTATCTTTTTTAGCGAGCTGGACTCGAATCTGAGGCATACGCGAGCCCGTTCTCAGCCCTTCCGGAACAACAACAATGGGGTGACGGCGACAACCCACGCGACGATAACCGCGAGATGTGCAACGCAGACCACGCCCTCCCTGCTGCAAGGAACAGTGCCGGGAGTGTCGGCGGCAGCGGTGGCGGTTGCTTTGGCCAACAATCTGAACAATAACACCAGCAATAGTACCCTCTCTCACAGCAGTACTCTAAACCCATCCCTGAATAACCAGAATTATAATCAGAACAAAAACAACAATGATGGCACCACTAACAATCTCCTGCCCGGCAGTCGCACCCGCAGCCTGGCGATCTACAGCAAGAGGTAAGTGGTGACCCCTCTACCTCGCCAGAGCTCGAACTCGAAGCTTCCTCCCTCTCGAAATGTAGTCAATAGAAGCCTCAATATTTATGTTGGATTCCATTTGTTCCGTGTGGGCGCGCGGGCTTGCTTAAATCATTTTTTATTGCCCTATTTCGTTGCCTCACCCCCATTCCCGCCCCCATTCCTTGAGTTGTATATAGAGTGTATCTTTATAGGTATTTCCATTAATTTTCCGACCCCTCCCGTAATATAATTTGCACCAAATTAAACCAAACACTAACCTATCAGGAACTATCGATAATTATCGACCACCAAATGATCGATTACTAAATTAAGCTACAACATGGCTTATGTACAGCCACACTATCTATTGATAACCAGGAGAAATCGATCATCAATCGATTATAATTGATATTGATCGAAGATCGATTAAAAACTTAGTTACAAAACGGCGTATGTACAGCCAGACTAATCCAGGAACTATCGAATGATCACTGATCAATTATCGTTGATCGATTACTAAATTTAGCTACTAACTTAGTTTAGAGAAAAAAAAACATTTTGTATTTGGCATTCTCTGCAGTTTGTTTTAAACATTCCGTTTAGTGCATGCCCAAAAATTTGCAAAAAAAAAAAAACAAAAATTTATTTGCGCAAAAAATAAACTATCAAAAAACTTATCAAAATTGTATGTAAGCTTGCGATTATTATTTTGTTTATCGAATGTTTTGGCCTTGTTTTGCTGTTGGTTTGGCATTATGTTTTCCGTAGCATCCCCCTCTGTCTCCTTTGATCTGTATCCGTACCCCCGGTATCCATACTCTGTATCTCTTTATCTGTATCTTTATCTCTTGTGCCGCCATACGCCATACGCTCCATATATGCTCTCCTCCCAGAATGGAATTGAAACACCTGCGCAAGGCGGAACAGCAGGAGCAGCCGGTATCCACTACAACGAACAGCGTCAAGCCGCCACCGTATGCCACCATCAACGAGAGCAAGATCCCTGTGGTGATGATGAGCAGTGCTGCCGCTGGCAGCTCGGCCACCATTCCCCCCACGCGCGGCAGTGCCGCCCGCACCTCGCACCACCATATGACTCTGCGCGGTCGCTCGCGTATCCGCTATCAGCGTCCAGCGGCCGGAGAGCCCGCGCCTGCGGCCGCTCAGGCACAGCCCTGTACGGTGGCGACGGCGCGCTACTATCGCGATGTGTCCGCCATACCCACCGCCATGTCGTCGTTGATTGCTTTGGGAACTAGTTCTTCCAACTCTGCTTCCACTTGTACTACTTCTACTGCTGGTTCTGGTTGCTATAATATAGCCACACGATCCTCCTCCGCTACGCTCGATCTGAACTCGAATCCATTGCCAGCGGCCACACAAGGCACTGGGAGTGGGACTGGGGCTGGGGCCAAGTCCAAGCTATCCAACAACACGAACAACAACCTCAACAACAACTGCAATTTGAGTAATGCCCATTCTTCTGTTTCTCCTCCACCCAACCACAACCACAACCACCACCTCCCATCATCCTCTCCAGACACAGGCCGTCTTAGTGGGCGCGGCAGTGCCGAACTGGAGGCAATCATCGAGCACGTGGGAGCGAGGCGGAACAAGCGATCTCTGAGCTCCACGCGCCTGGACAAGGACAAGTGCGACGAATACAACACGAAACTACTGCGTAAGACGAGCATCGTAGCAGCGGCCGCCGTAGCAGCAGCAGCCTCCGCACCCACTCCTGCCAACCACAATCCGAACAACAACAACCATAGTGGAGGCAGCAGCAAATACAGCAGCAACAGTGGCACACCCACAACACCCAGCACTGGAGGCAGCTTCAAGTTGTCGCGTCGGGTGTTTGGTGAATCGGGTTCCTCGGCATCGACATCGGCCTCCAACTCGGGCATACCCACGCCAACGGCACCGGCACCGTCATCCACGCAGCAGTGGCAGCAGCACCATGTGGCACCACGTGTTGGTAGCCGCCTGTCCAGCGATCGGGAGCGAGAGCGCCAACAGCAGGAGCAGCAACAGTCGCTGAAGCTGCGCAAGAAGATCAGCTACTGAGCAGGAGAAGATTCCCTGTCCTTCCTTGTTGCCTTTAGTTTTACAAACATACAACATAATCCTTTGTTAAATAGTGAGAAATTAAACTTTTGGGAATCTATAGATTATGTCGGAATCCGAATCCCCTCTCCAAATAGAAAGAGTTTCCCCCGCTTTAAATCATATATTGCCTTTGCAATTCTTGTACAAAGTTAACGAATCATTAAAATCAATTTAAACTTCTTGATGTTTTATCACACACGAACCCAAATCCTTTTAGATTGTATTAACGAACGAAATTTATGTGCATTATTCAGACTCGTTTAGAGTGTAAATAGGATACAAGTTTATTTAGTTGTAAGGACCACTATATATATAGCAAAAATAAAAATGTTAATAATATAATATACTTATACTTTGGGAACGTCTAGATTCTCATTAGTATTACAGGGGTGGCTGAAGTTTTGAATGATAAATGAAGCTTTTAATTTTCAACAAAAAATTTCTGGGTAGTCTGGGATTTAATCCGTTCTGCGACCCTCATTATAGAATTTGTAGTAGAAAAATGCCAGTTCCGGAAAATTACAAATTATAGATATGTTTCTAGTCAAGCATATCCTTGAAGTAGCCAATCATGTAGCCATAGATATCGTTCTCATAATCAATAAAAACGCGATCAAAATCAACGTTTAGCTCAATTTTGACCATTGTCTTCATGGATTTTGCTGGAACTGTTGAGAATTCAGGTGTGATATTCAGGGCTTTCAGAATGTCCATAAGCTGATCCTTTTCGTTTTCGTACTCTGTGGAATTGATGACCTCAAAAGCGGCCTTCTTCAGGTGCGGAAAGAAGTCCTTATAATAGTTGTGGGCATCGCACACTTTGCGCCCATAGAATTCCGTTCGGCCCGAGTCGGTGAGGTCCCGGTAGGTGGAGAACATAAGACGACGTTCGGTCTCTATGTCGTTGTTGGCATCGACTATAGGAATTGTCCCCTGATCCGAGGGCTTGGTGCTGACAACTTCCATTTCGGTTACCTTGCCCATATCGGTTGAGATGACCGACAGCATTTCGATGGCGGCCCGCTGGCGGGCATCCTTCTTCTTGTCCGACTTGCCGTAACGCTTGATGGAGGCCACCGAGCAGCAGGCCAGGAATTCGGGAGCGTCTGGTGTGCCGCACTGCTGCACAATCTCTATAAGGGGCAGCGGCATTTCATGGCGAACGCAGTAGTCGCGTAGCTCCTTGAGCATATCCCGATTAAGGTTCTTTAGCTCATCGTACAAATCCGAACTATTGTCACCGATATCGTCCGACAGATGCTCACTGAGGCCCGGCAGTCTGCGCAATTTCTTTATGATATTTGAGGCCGCCAGGTGTTTGGAGTCACGCTTTGAGCGGCCTTTTAAACGGGGAAATGGATGGAACTAATGAGTTGAAAGTACATACATATGTACATATGTCGAGAAGAACTTCAGCATGTAATTACCATTGCCATAGGATTCTATATCCATAAGAACGATTTTGCAAATGTATCCTCCATCTTCCCCATCGATATAGTCGTATTTCGGCACCGGTATCTTGCTCTTGGCGCAAAATTCCTGCAAATTCGAAACGGCTGACTTTTTATCCATCTGCGTTTCAAAACTTCAAATTTTATTTTATTCTATTGCAATTTATTAGTGTGACTGTAGTGTTGTGTTGCAGTGTGACCAGAAATATACGAGCTTAGCCCACTCGCCCCCTCAATTTAAAATGGTTAACAGCCTGAGTTAAACCGCGGGAAAAAACACTGAATGTAAAATATTCCTATAGAATTATCCTAGCCTTCCTTTTTATCTACAATCAACATACGTATTCACGATATCTGTCCCTTGAACTGCGCTAAAACTCTTCAAGATTCATATTTGTTGTGGTTGTATAACAACTTGCTGGTCGAAGATGGATTAATCGTTGATTTTCGAGCTTAGAGATGAGCGATATTAGCGGAAAAATATCAAGTCACAGCGATGTTTTGAAAATAATTCGCTAATACTGTATAGAAACACGGAATTCAAATGTTTTTAGCCTTCGAAGGTTATGTTAATAGCCACTGCGGCAATGAAATAGGTAGCGTACAATTTAATATGCATACACGTCAGCGTATGCTACCAGCAGGTTGGCAGCTCCCAAGAGTCAAGGCAACCCTGTTGCTGAATGTATTGTGTTAACAAGTGTTGCTGCCAGAGATGAGCAGGAGAGACAGCCCCAAGTCACAAGAGATATATATATTATTTTTATAAAAGTGCTACTAAGAAAAAAATATACTCTAAAATAATAATAATTTGATTAACCAGTAGATATAAAATCAGTAGTTGTGAAATTATGTATTCTAGCCTGCAGTATTTGATATTTTTCAGCAGCGTAAACTGTGACTTTTAAAATACTTGCGACAAGTAGCAGGCGAGTGAGGAACAAGTCATCTCCAGTTTCAGATCAGAATCAGAAACGAAGGCGAAAATTCCGACTCAGGCCACGGACGGACGTTTATAACTTCGTTTCATAATCAATAATTTCTCTGCTGAAAGCAGCACAACACACGAAACGAAACGGAAACATATCGTTTTCCATCAGAAAGTACAGCATTCCAAACTATTTTCGGTAGCAAAACAAAGGGGAAAAGAGCCAAATCAAATGTAAAAGTTTGTCTAAACATACAAACATCAATCGTGCGCGAGCCCGAGAATAGGAAGAAGTGAACAACATTGGGGCAGCAGCGAGTGCGAAGCTGAAACGGAATCACAAGATCACTAGCAGTAGAAAGTGCGTTCGGAGCTAGCGTTGGGGGTCACACAATTATGGACGATACTGCCGCATCGCCCGCAGCGGCCACAGCAGCTGGCTGTGATGCTGCCCGTGACAAAACAAACGCTGGCGTTGCTGTTGCCGCCGCCGCAGCGGCCAGCAGCACAAGTGTGAGGCTCCTAATTAAGTCGTCAAATCAACAGTATGACGACATGAACGTCGACAGTGATCTCTCCTGGACGGTGCAGCGTCTGAAGAAGCAACTGTCCCTGGTGTATCCTGGCAAACCGGTAAGCGTCCCCTCATTAATTTCACTCGCTGTTGTGTCATTGTTATCGTAGTTTACGTCAGCTGTGGCGTGTGGATTGGCCCCGCTATCTTATCGTGTTATGTTTTCGGTTAGCGTTCCATTCAAGTCGATTCTGTGCAATTTGCGTCTTAGTTTAGTACCAAGTACACGTCAGTACATCCAGCGGCAGGCAGAGAGGCCTTGCATCAAGCTGTAATTTATAGCATTCGTCATGTTTCTTGCGTCATGGAGCAGCGTGCAAATTTAAAACCGTAGCAGACTCAAGAGTGTGTATTTCTCTGCTTGCAGGACATCAACGATCAAAAGCTCATTTACTCTGGCAAACTGTTGGATGATGCCCAGAAGTTGTCGGAGGTCATACGCAGCTACAAGGACGTCTACCAGCAGCATCACATCTTTCACCTGGTCTGTGCCAATAAGCACTTTGCCAAGACCCCGGCAATGCCCACTGCAGTGCCGAAGAACGCAGCCCCACGCCAGGAGGGCAACCTCAACGCCAGCACCAACGAGATTCGTCAGCGTCATGCCACAAATCAGCAGCAGCAGCAGCCGCCGCTGCAACTGCCCCAACAGCAGGCCGGTGTCGACAGTTTCCTGCACGGGGATGTTAATAATCTCGCATTTAGAACATGGTATCCCCTCTGGCTACAGCAGCAACAGGCGGCCACCCATCCCGATCCGCATGTGGCCTACCAGCAGCGGGTACTTCTCTACAACGCCTGGATGAGTCAGGTCTATGACGCATACTTGCAGGATCTGATGCGGGGGTGAGTTCCAGCATTTTATGTGGCATCTCTGTGGCATTTTTAATCAACGTAAATCCTCCACAGCGCGGAGTCACCGCCTGGGAACAGAGTTCCCCTTCTGCCGAATATGATGCCGCAATGGGAATTGCAGGCCCAGCAGCAGATGGCTGCGCATGCCGCCGCATCTGCAGCTGCGGCCCAACAGAATCCGGCGCCTGTCGCCCAGCCGGCGGAGGCCGCGCAGCCAGCAGCTAACAGACCAAACTTCCCCCTCATCCAGGAGGAACCCGAGAACCGGGACTGGCTCGACAGTTTCTTTAGCTTCACGCGCCTGGCCATTTTCGTGACTGTCTTGTACTTCAATTCGTCGCCGCTGCGTTGCCTCCTGGTGATGTTCATTGCCGGGGTGATTTATCTGTGAGTGGCTCTCTACAATGCTTTTGAATTTAGGCTAAAGTCTTTCATCTCCCTGTTAGATATCATATTGGTGTTCTGCGACGTCGTCGTGAGCGAAACAATAACAACATAAATCGCAACAATAATGCTGGCCATCCTGTTGCTGCCTTCGCCGCAGTGCAACAGATCCAACGCATGATGGATGCCGTGGAGCGTGAGAACAACGATCCACAGGCTGCAGTCGAGCCAGTGGCCGCCGGTCAGGATGCACCCGATGCTCCTCTCGGTGCAGCGGCTGATGCTCCTGCTGATCCAGCTGCTGCTCCTGCCGCCGCTGCTCCTGCAGCGCCAGTTCCAGCCAGTGCTGCTGGACCCGAACAGGCGGCTGCCGTTTCAGCCGAAGCTGCTGCAGTGGAACCACCAAATGCCAATAACTCTGTGATTTCCGCTGTGCGCACCTTTGTCATTACGTTCTTCACCTCGCTGCTGCCCGAGGCACCGGCGCTGTAGAGGAATCTGTACTTCTACTATAACCATTCGCGGGCGCATCCGCTTTCAGCCACCACACCACACACACCCCCCCATAATCAAAATGTTATAACTTCTTCCTTTCGTTTTTGACTACCTGTCAAAGTAGGTAGCAAAAGCACTTTGTTTTTCTAGCTTTAAGGATTTAGTATATTTATTTAATGTCTGTGCGTGCGCGCTCCGTGGCTGCTGCTCGCTGCTCCTCCCTTCCTCCGTGTAGCCCTTAGACATTAGCTAATTAAGAGAAGAAACACTGTTTTTGATGTGAATACCAATGCGAAAGGGAGATGATCTGCTCTGGACGACTGCCAGAGACGAAACTATGAATCCAAGATGCAATTACAAATAAAAATTATGCTTTAACACTGAAACCAAACACAGAACTGCTCAAATTGTACTCTTAATTCGCAGCGAAACTCTCTTATCAGCAGGAATGGAAAATTTTCAGCCAAAAATTCGGAATTAGGATCGCTCTCTCCTCCGCGGGTAAGTAGATTTCTCTCTGCCTCTCTGCTAACGCACTCAAATTTTGGTTTCTTTTAGCTTCGAGCGGAGATGAGATTGGAACTGAGAGCGGCTTATCGGTGGGGTTTATGGCTCGGTCTGGCTGCTGATTAGGGGCTGGTCTCCGTCGTCTCGGGATTGCCTTTAGAACACCGCGAACACTCAGAGCAGACGGATCGCATCCACGTACTGAAACTGAAAACTGAAGAATATTCTGAAATCCGCATTCAACTGCTGCCGAACCATGTGGCGAGTGATTCAACAGCGCGCAACAATCGCGCATCCGCTGGTCAGACAGCGCCATGTAAGTTGATTGACCCGCCCAACAATGCCGCCCAATTATAGCTGGGTATTCTTCTCATTTTCAGAGTCGAGTGATTGCCATAAGACGCGAGGATCAGTCCGTGTGGGAGCGACGGGCTCCGTTCGGACCCACCCATGTCCAGAAACTGGTCAAGCAGAATGTTAAGGTCATCGTACAGCCCTCCAATCGTCGCGCCTATCCCATGCAGGTGAGCCAGCATCAGAAGAGATTCTCCTGTAATTTTCCATGCCAACGAAATTATGGAACCACCTTCCAATCGCTTTCCGAAAATCATATCAGAAGTCATGCCAGATAGATTAAACGCATTATATGTGTAGCAACACGCCCCCCACAGTGCCGCACCATAAATATATCCGTTTGATAAGCCTCTTCCAGTTCATAGAGCTCTAAATTTGGCAATTGCGGCCAGGCCTTGAAAAATACCAAAAACAAAGGCAGAAAAGCGAAGAGAAATCAACAAGGCTTATCTCCACGGAGCGGAATGATTCTATGGTAGCTATAGGCTATAGACAGAAATGATTTTAATGAATGATAGGAACGATAAGCGAACGACGAAGTTTTTAAAGAGCAAACGTGAGGATTGATACGAAGCAGAAGCAATATTTTGAGATAATACGCCATAATAATAGTATAATAACAATAATGTTTGTGGTTTTCATTGAAAATATATAGATAAAAGATTTCTATGGATAGGTGGAGATAGTAAGCTGGAATTACTTTAATAATTGAATCTTTGAGAGTTCAATTATAATCATACCTTCCTTCTTTGGATGATTCTTTTGATAAAGATATGTTCTATACAAAACTATACAAGACTAATGAAAAAATATAAATATTTATAGAATAACCCTTTGAGAGAATAATGATAACAATATCAAGTATCCCCTCACCCTTTGTCGAGGAACTAATTTTTGTAAAATATTTGTATACTCAATACAATTTAAACAAACATTTCATTAAATGATAGACCAACTCCTTGAGATTATAGTATTTTGCAACAATAATACTGCTCATTCCTCAAAAGATAAACCATAAACACACACAAATTAAATAAGATAACAGATAATAATGTTTTCTTTGTGATACCCAGGCCTATATGCAAGCTGGAGCTCACATTCAGGAGGACATCAGCGAGGCCTCTGTCATATTTGGCGTCAAACAAGTGCCCATCGATGCTTTGATACCAGGAAAGACATACTGCTTCTTTTCGCACACGATCAAGGCCCAGGAATCGAACATGCCACTGCTGGATGCTGTCTTAGAGAAGGTTTGTGTTGTCCATCACTCCCCCCATTCGAACTTTAATAAATATATCTCTTATCTTGTCTATGATCTGCCATATAGAAAATCCGTCTCATCGATTATGAACGCATCATCGACGAACGCGGCGCTCGTCAGGTGGCCTTTGGCAAATACGCTGGCGTCGCTGGCATGGTGAACATTCTTCATGGGATCGGGCTGCGTCTGCTGGCCCTGGGGCATCACACACCCTTCATGCACATTGGTCCCGCTCACAACTATCGCAATTCGTCGATGGCCCGCCAGGCCATACGCGACTGCGGCTATGAGATCTCTCTGGGAATGATGCCCAAGTCGATCGGACCTCTGACCTTTGTCTTCACCGGCTCCGGTAATGTGTCGCAGGGCGCCCAGGAGGTATTCTCGGAGCTGCCCATTGAATATGTTCCACCAGAGATGCTGCGTAAGGTGGCAGAGCATGGAAGTGAGTGGAAATTGTTTTGGAAATCATGTGAATCTCATTAATATTGTATTCCTTACAGATCAGAATAAGTTGTATGGCTGCGAGGTGAGCCGTTCTGATCACCTGGAGCGTCGCGATGGCGGCGGCTTCGATGCCAAGGAGTACGACGAGTACCCCGAGCGTTATATATCCACTTTGAGCACAAAGATAGCACCCTATGCCTCTGTCATAGTGAACGGCATTTACTGGGCGGTCGGAAGTCCGAAGTTAATCAGCATACCAGATGCCAAGAACCTGCTGCGTCCCGCCAACACACCCTGGCTGCCGGTGAGCAAGGGCAGTCCTGCCCTGCCCCATCGCATGCTGGCCATTTGCGACATCTCTGCGGATCCGGGCGGCTCCATTGAGTTCATGAACGAGTGCACCACCATCGACACGCCTTTTTGCCTGTACGATGCGGACAGGAATAAGGATACCAAAAGCTTCAAGGGACCTGGTGTGCTTGTGTGTTCCATTGACAATATGCCCACGCAGCTGCCGCGCGAGTCAACGGATCTGTTTGGGGAGCTGCTGGCCCCCCATGTCCACGATATCATCAAGAGCGATGCCAAGAAGCCGCTGTCCGAGGAGCAGTTCTCGTACCCCATCCAATCGGTGAGACCTTATCAGCGTCTATCTGTGTTATCAGCTATTTAATACCCAACCCCCTCAGGCGATTATCGCGAGCAATGGAGAGCTGACCGAGGGCTTTCAGTACATTCAGGAACTGCGCGAGTCCCAGAGCAATCGTTCGCGCCACAAGATGGAAGGCAGCTCCGAATCGCACAAAAAAGTACTAGTGCTGGGCGCCGGCATGGTCTCTGCTCCTTTGGTGGAGTGGCTGCACCGCGAGAAGGACGTGAACATCACCGTCTGCTCGCAGGTCAAGGACGAGGCCGATCGGCTGGCCAATCAATACGCGGGCGTGGACAGCGTCTACCTGGATGTCAACGAGAGCACGGGCCATCTGCAGGAGCTCTGCGGTAAGGCGGACGTGGTCGTCTCCCTGCTCCCCTACAGCCTTCATGGCATGGTCGCTCGCTACTGCGTGGCTGAGGGCACACACATGGTCACGGCCAGCTATCTGAACGATGAGATCTCTGGACTGCACGATGAGGCCAAGGCCAAGGGTGTCACCATCATGAATGAGGTGGGATTGGATCCGGGCATTGATCATCTGCTGGCGCTGGAGTGCATTCACGAGGTTCAGGAGAAGGGAGCAGTCGTCGAGTCTTTCGTGAGCTATTGTGGCGGTTTGCCAGCCCCCGAGCACTCGAACAATGCCCTGCGCTACAAGTTCTCATGGTCGCCGCGCGGCGTCCTGCTCAACACCCTCTCTGCGGCCAAGTATCTGAGTCGCGGCCAGATCGTGGAGATATCGGGCGGCGGGGAGCTCATGTCCACGCCTCGCAGTCTCGACTTTTTGCCAGGATTTGCCCTGGAGGGCTTCCCCAATCGGGACTCCACCAAGTACGGCTCCCTCTATGGGTTGGGCAGGGATGTGCACACCCTGCTCCGTGGCACCATACGGTATAAGGGCTTCTCAGAGTCCATTAAGCCCATGCAGCTGCTGGGCCTGATTGACCCGGAGCCACATTCCATGCTGCATCCCAGCGGACCGGATGTCACCTGGCGGCAGCTTGTGATCCACCTGCTGGGCATGTCCGATTCGAGCATCTTCTACGAGAACCTCAAGCAGAAGCTGAACGAACGCATCGGCGATGTCGATTGCATTGAGAGCTTGGGTCTGCTAGAAGAGACGCCCGTTGTTAAGCTCAACACACCCTTGGACACGCTTAGTCACTATCTGTCCAAGAGATTGGCCTTTGGTGGGTATTTCTAGCGGGTATTTCCTGCATACTCTTATCTAATTTCTGATAATTTCCTTTGCAGAAAGGGAAGAGCGTGATCTGGTTGTGTTGCGCCATGAGGTGGGCATCCGCTGGCCCGACGGCCGTCGTGAGGAGCGTGGCATCAACTTCGTGGTCTATGGCCAGCCCCAGGGACACTCTGCTATGGCTATGACGGTGGGCAAGCCCGCCGCAATAGCAGCCAAAATGATACTAGATGGTGAGTCTCCTATAGGATCGGTACTAGTTCGTATAACCCTTTTCTAATTCTGGTAACTCTTATTTTTCCAGGTGAGATCCAGGAACGCGGCGTCTTGCTGCCTTTTACCCCCGACATCTATCGTCCCATGCTGCAGCGTCTGCGCTCCGAGGGTCTGACTGCCACGGAGACCTCCAGATGGTTGAATTAGTCTGAAACGAACCGAATCGAACAGAACCGTACTGCCGGGAATAGTATATCCCTTAGGCTTAAGTCATGAGTGCCTTTCATTCATTCATTCATTCAGCCATAATTTGTGTTGCTGTTTTTATCGCTGTACTTTTTGGTGTTACTTTTTGTTGGTCGATAAGACATGTTAACGTTATCTTTCTACCAAAATAAGTTTTATGGTTAAAGCTACTTGAGTGCACAAACACTACGTTCAAGTTGATGTCGAACTTGTGAAATTTGTTTCCCCTGCGGGAATTATTATTGATGGACGAATGATTTGAAAAGAATGTGGAAAATTATAACGAAATTCTATAATATTCAATTGGTTTTATTTGAGAAATTATTGGAGGAACTGTAATGAAGTCAATTTTTAATAATTTTCAGATGTGGATTCCATTTTGATTCCATAAATTCTTCATTCCCATATACAGCTATAAAAGGTTTCAAAACATAAGGAAGCTATTAATTGGAAAACGGTTTACCATTATGGAGATAATAATGATATATTATTGGATACATGTGTCTAATTATGAAAAAAACTTTATTTTTCTTTCTTTTTTAAAATGTGGATTTCATTTATGACTTCAAGACGATTTCTTATCTCTGAACCCATTTTAAACGCAAAATGATTTCGGTTTCTATTTCAATTTTGATTAAAAAAATGCACATAACTAGAAGAATTCGGAATATTGTAACACAAATTAGGAGTAATTTACTTTTATTTTTTTAAATGAAAAATAGTTTCAGGGAGTCGTTTTAATGTGCTTTCATGGTTAAAGGTAAGAATGTGGTTTCAAAATAACAATTTTCCTGCATTAAGAAATTCCACTTCTTCCAATGTGGGACCCATTCAATATTGTACGTAAAAGCAATATCCTCTTTAGGAATCTGTTAGCATCTGCTCCTTAATATATTTAATTATATTTATAATTTAATAATAGGTTAGGAAGACTACTTACCCCTTTTACACGAGCTTGCATATTTTTAAAAACCTTTAACGAAGAGTTTTTGAACAGTGAGATAGGGAATATACTCATATTATTCACATTCACATTTACATATAATATTTCTATCAAAAATATTTACTGAGCCATTGGTTATCTTATTCCAATAATATTTATAACATTACCCATCACTTTCATTTACTTAAAATGTTTCAACCATCACTCATAAGAACGGAAACCCATCAAAGCGGACATTTATTTCTGATCATTGTGATGTTCCAATTCCGTTTAATCTTCAAGTTTCAATTTCCGTTTGGCATCGCCCCCATGGCAACCCGCTCCCCGGCTCGAAGGGTTATCGCCTGAACTTGAACCACAGAGCTGTGGAAACTCTACTACTACCGACGAAAAATTGAACATTACTTCGATTAAGAATCAATTCTATATTTAGGTCCAATGCCTGCACGAGCATGACATGATGATGATTACAGGGGTTTTCAGAGCCGGATCCGATTCGAACCGTTCCGTTCCGATCAGATGATTGTACCTAGAGCATACACGACTGCACCCATGGGGATCCGAAACCGAAGCGTTCCGAACCAATCCGTCCCCGGTCATTAGCGTCGGTTATAATTGTAATAAACAACAGCCCATATGATGGTGCACTTGGTGTCCAAGATTGGGGGCTATCATCGGGCCTCCGCCTGATAACCTCTGCTGGCGTCTCTGCCCGCTGCTGCCCACAGTTCTAGGAGCGGGGGCGCAGGCTCTGTGGATTTTACAAATTTCAATTCATATTCATTCAATGCAAATACACACACACACACAACACAGAATTCAAAACAACAAAATTCTTGTCACCGCGATAGCAATGTGTGTAATGGGATTTGTGTTTGTTTTTATTTTTGTGGAACTTAAGCCAGCGCCGGCAGCGACGTCTACGCTGGCGTTGTGAATTAAGCGCTGGGAATTTGGGGCTGTGCTACGCTCCATTCGTCTTCAGTCTTGATAATACGACCGAGCGCGGCGTCCGGCCAGTCAGCAGTCACTAGCACCAGTTGTCGCCGTTGTCCGCGTCCACAGAGGCAGGGGCAGAGCAGACCATATATTCCACAATCCAATGTCTACGTCCACGTCCACCTCGCCTTCTTCGCTTCTTTACTCGATTTAAGTCTTACAGTTATTCTTGTTCGCTCTTTAATAACGGTTGTTTGCGTGTTGCGTGTGCGAAAGGGAGGAAGCGATTATTTAATTTAAGTACTGGCCGTACCGCGTGTGAGAACGAACAGCCGCCGTGTGTGTGGGTGTATGTGTGTGGAACCGCATCGAAATTCCAGATATTATACATTATACAATAAGCCTCAGTGAAGTGTAGTTTTCAGTTGTTTATTGGCACCATAACCAGTACCAGAAACAAAGGTCAACTCAAGCCCGATATCCGATAGCCGGAGTGGAGCGATTGCCTGGACTCTCACTCTCTCTAACCGATTTCCCCGATCCAAGTTCAACGGTGCATTCGCTCTCGCATTATCTCTTCTAAAGTTCTTCCCGCTCTCTCTCTCGCGCTGTCGCTGTCGCCTCTCTTTGGATCTGTTATCAGTAGTGCAGTAGCAACAGAAACTACATAGAAAATGGGTTGCACCGGCGGCTATTTGTCGGAGGCTCATTTGCGGGGCTTCGAGCGTTACAAGGTGAGTACTGGGGCACCTAGGGCTGGAGCTGCCCACCAATAAAAAATCAATGTCCTGCCCATCTGTGCCGTGCCCCAAAAGACACGACACCCCGTTCCTCCACTGCTCCCTGCTCACATATGCACTGAGTGAATCAATTGTTATTAAATTATATATAAAGCAAGACGATTATCGTTGGACAATTCAATACAATGCGTGTACCAGTTCCGGTTGCTTCTGCTTCTGTTTCTGTTTCTGTTTCTGCCTTTGCCTGGCGATTAGGCAACGAATGTGTGGAAATTGCCGTACTATCAATAATTTTTAATGAATTACTAGTGTACTCATAGGGTCATCAATCCAGGGAGATAGGAAATAGACATAGACATAGGCTCAGTCAAACAAATGTTTCGCAAACGTTCTCTAATAGAAGGCATTGAACTGTCTCTGGATCGATGTTCCATGTGTTCGTTCCGCGTAGCCTTCCAATACTTGGACAATAGATAGGGAAAGAGTGGAATTTGTACTTGTGAAGATTACAATTACAGGGTTCTGTAACATTTCATATACACGTACATACAAGATGAAGTAATGGAGTTGGGGAGAAGTAGTTCATGAAAATTTCACTATCTTTTTCCCATAGTACAACTGCATAGACACTGGTTTCGTCAGTGTCTATATAATGCACCCATTCTGGAACTATTGTGTTAAGGTAAGTGATCTATTTTCACACCAAAGAAACGTATTGAAACTCTCTTCTAAATGGACAGTTCTTGCCCAGATGGCTGGCCCCCAATCTGCTCACGTTTGTGGGCTTCCTCATGACCGTAGTGAACTTTATACTGATCTCCTACTACGACTGGGACTTCAAGGCCGCCAACGACAAGGAGATCGGCAATACAGTGCCCGCCTGGGTGTGGACTGTGGCGGCCATTAACATATTGATCTACTACAATTTGGGTGAGTATTAAACGGAGGATCGATCCCCTCGAAAATGTCATTATATTAATGTGAATGTGTGTGTTCTCCAACAGATGGCATGGATGGCAAGCAGGCGCGTCGCACTGGCACGAGTGGACCGCTGGGAGAGCTGTTCGATCACGGACTGGACTCCTATTCCGCAGCACTGATACCCATATATATCTTCTCCCTGTTCGGCACCCAAGACCTGCCGCCTATTCGAATGTTCTTCGTGATATGGAACGTTTTCCTTAATTTCTACCTAACTCATGTGGAAAAGTACAATACGGGTGTGATGTTTCTGCCATGGGGCTATGACTTCACCATGTGGGTGAGTGGTATACGATCTCTTTTAAGGTTTGAGGCCCCATTTTCATTGGAATCCCGTTTCCTCTTTCAGGGCGTGAGTGGAATTCTCTTTCTGGCCACTGTTTTTGGACCGGGAATCTATCGTTTCAGCATGTACGGCATTACGATTGCCAATGTGTTTGAGTTTACGCTAATTGGATCTGGCATGGTTTCAAGTCATCCTATTATAGCCAGAAACATCTACCTGTAAGTGTAATGCACTTTCTTTAAGCCAAGATAATCTACTTGTTTCCCTTTAAGTTCCTACAAGAATAAGACGGGCAAGATGCGTCCCATGTGGGAGATGCTGCGTCCCTTCTTTGCCTTCGTCTGGCTGTTTGTGATCACCGTGATCTGGTCGTTCTTCTCGCGGAACGATGTGATCAACCTAGAGCCGCGCATTCTATGGATACTCTATGGCACCATATTCTCCAACATAGCCGTAAGATCGGACAGAACAACATTTTGACGGACAGTTGCGTAATTTCTAATGTTCCCCTGCGTTTAGTGCCGTTTGATTGTGGCCCAAATGTCGGATACCCGTTGCGATGGCTTCAATGTGCTCATGTGGCCCCTGGCGGCCACTGTGGGGGTCTGCTGTTTCCCCTACTACGAGCAGGTCTTCGGAATGGATCTCACAGCGGACGGAGAGCGTTGGATAGTCCAGGGTCTGACCATATTCTCTACCTTAGCGCACTGGCACTACGGCTATAGTGTGGTAAGTACTTTATATATTCCCTGATTCTGCAATCCAGTCAAATCTATTCTCGAACCCCTTCTAGGTCTCTGAAATGTGCAATCACTTCCATATCAGATGCTTCAAAGTAAGACAAACTCGCAGCCAAATGGCAGATCCACAATCACAACAATCCCTGCAGAATAATAACAAAATCAAGGGCCATTGAAACTAATTCGCTCACTAACACCCCCGCTCCCAAAGAAACATCATCAACGACAAGGCCACAAACAAATCAACCAACCATCTTGTGATATATATATATATATATTTATATGGGGATCGATCCGAAAAAACAAAAAAACATTTAACTTTATACCTCGCCATCGCCATCGCCCTCGTTTCGGCCAAGTCCGAGTCTAGGTCCAAGTGGTCCATACTCAATTCTAAACACTTAACCGATACTCTTTCTCCTTCTACTCATGCGGTGTGCATATAACGTGGTAAAGTCCATACGAAGCTACTATTATACCCTACTACAAAATACCTAACCCTAGTCCTAAGCAGCTAATCAGCCAGTACTTAACTCTTTTGATAAGACTCTTAGACTCGTAAGTGCATCCGAACCGATCCGTCTTTGAAGGCAGCTTTAACCCGCATGTGCTATGAGAGATCTCTAACCGCATGACCCGATAAGTATTATGTGCCTGAAGAGTGACTATTGAATGAATGGCAATTGCTGCAATGCTCTACTGACTGTACCGCCTCCATCCAATTGTAATTTCTGTAGATCAAAAAACAACCGACTGTCGCCGCGGAACAGGAACTGCAGGAGGAGTCCAAAGCCATAGAGCCCACGGAAACGGAAAACGTAAACATTGAAGAAGTCTAAGCCCCAGCAGCAGTCGATTCTACTCTTTCGCTTTTGTGTGTTGTGTTTAAATTCGTTTGCTAGTGTTCAATTATTAAGCAATGTTCAAAGTGTCTGTAGGTTAAGTATGAAATGGCAATGAAAAATACATTTGTTAGTCGAAAAGAGAGAGATAGAGAGATTTGAGATGATTTTGGGGGAGCTATGAGAGCTTTTGGGGATAAGAAATTATAACAATTCCATCACTCATGGATACAAATATCTAAAGCACAGATCAGCAGGATTATCCATATAAAAGACTCAAAGAGCCATGAAACGTGGGAGCCGAAAACTATGAAAGTTACTTCCTTGTTTTGTTGGAACCTCTCTTGAACGAGTGTTAATCCTGTGCTTAAATTTTATTCAGAATACTAACTTCGATTGAATATATGAAAATAATTTAGCAAAACTTTCATTATCTTACATTATAAACATAGCGCGCGTCATGGTATCCCGCATCCGCATCTATCGCTCTAATTAAGCAGCAGTTGTGCCACAATGCTGTTGTCGTCGGATGGATTCGATGAGTGCAGGCCGGAGCCGCTTTCGAGAAACTCGCGCAGCTCGTTCTCCAGATCGCCAGCGACACCGCCACTGGGCTCATCCTGCTCGTCAATGTCCATAGGCACTGGCGGCAGCTGGGGCAGGGCCACAGGCTGCTGGAGAAGTTCCGGCAGTTGGACGCGCGGTGAGGCGGGCGGTGGTGGCGGCAAACCAGCTACGGGAACAGAAATTTTATAATTAAAAGGGGGAAACTAAAGAAAAGGAAAATCGGTCTTATGATTACTCACCATAAGACATTCCCATGGCCTTTCGCAGAGCAAAGGGATCTGCTATGGCGGAGGGCGGCAGCTTCTTGGCCAAGTCGCTGATCTGCTGCGTCAGTTGCTGCGCGGTTTGGGCCTCCTCCTGACCCGCTGGCTGCACTAGACCCAGGTGGCTGGGCAGCGGTTGGGAGAGGCGTTCGTGCTGGGTTACCCGCAGCTTCTCGATTAGAGTGAGATTATTGCTTAGATGCTCGTGCATACGGCGGTTGAGCTCAAAAGTCTTCATTTCCGTCTCCATGCTGTCCAGGAAGCTCACATCGATGCCCAGTTCCTTGAGGGATTGCAAGCGCTTGAAGTCCACGCGAGTGTTCTTGTACTTCTCGTACTCTTGCTCAATTTGCTCTTGGGTTTCCTGTGGCTGGGCCTGCGCAGTGGATGACTCCTCGGTGTCGAAGCATTTCTCGATTTCCTGATGCTCGTACGAGTGCAGCTGCATGTTGTAGAGCTCGTCTAGGGACTTGCTGTGCTCCCCGTTGGTGAGAATGTCCAGCAGGCCGTTGGCTATGTTGGTGCCAAAGCTAGAGTCCTTGGTGAACTGAAGAATGCTCTCGGCGTACTCCGCGCTGGAGGCATCGCCGTAAGTACGCAGCACGAGCTTCGTCTCCTCGGCACTCAGCGTGGAGAATCGGGAGTCGAAGGTGGGCGCGAAGCTGGCATAGGCTCCGTAGCTCAGCGGCTTCACGGGCTTCACCACATTGCGGCTATCGACCTGACGCACTTGCAGCTGAGTGCTGCCGGTCTGGAGTTTACCCACCAGATCGCCAATGGTTACGACCCGCTCGGGGCCCTCGGTTTCCTCTTTTATGAGCAGATTCAAGGTGGTGCTGCCATCGCGGCCTTGACGCAGGAAACCCATTTTGTGGGCATTCTTCTTGGCGTTCACACGCTGTTTGGCCTGTTGGGCGGCGTTCTGTACCTGGGCTAGGATCTCCTCGCCAGTCAGGTCATCTACATACGGCTCGAAATGGTTTTTGGGTGCATTCTCCAGGCGCAAGGCTCTCTTGCGCTCCTCCTCCTCCAGTTGAGCTGGTGTGGGTGGCTCTTCTGCCCCCGTTGAGGCTCCTTCATCCGCCGAATCATGCAGATCGTAGCCCATCTCATTTGAGCTCAACTCAAAGCCCAGCTCCTTGGCCGTCAGCTCTCGCATGAAACCAGAGAGGGGCTTGAGACTCCTCATCATATTCTCCGGCTGCAAATGCTTCATTCCGACCTGGAGCAGCTTCTTGGCCGCCTTGTTGTAGACCGTGTCCACGTGGTTGTATTTAATGGCGTTGTCGCACATCAGCTTGAAGTCATCGCTGAATTCGGTCAATGTGGAGTACTCGTGGCCATCGATCTTTTGGCGCATGGTGGAGAAGTCCATGGGCTTGCTGATGATCGACGAGTAATTGGGGGCAATGTCGTCTGTGACGGGCCAGGCGAAGAACTGGTGCGGATCCCGCTTCTCCAGGAAGCGCAGCAGATGCTCAAGCAGCTTGTTGAGCGGCGATTTCTGCTGCTTCAGCTTGAGGACGCAGGTTCGTGGCTCTCGGCCGGACTCACTGCTGCTGCTTGGAGTTCTCGGCGCCTCCAGAGCTTTAGGTGTTAAAGTATTCTGGGAGCTGGCGCCGCCTGGTGTGGAAGGTGATGGGATATGGAGCTACAAAAGGAAACTCAGTTGACCCACAAAAATTAATTTCATATTCGAGACACTCACGTCTGGTAGTGGCTTGGTGGGACTGCTGCCTGCCAGGCCCAGCGATGACGATGGCAGTGATGATGATGCGGGCGAGGAAGCCATTAGTATCTCATCCAGTTTGCGCGGGGCAATCGGCTTGCTCACCGGGCAATTGGACGGAGAGTTGTCGGTGGTGATGCCGGCGTAAAAAAGTATATTCTCTGGAAGCGGCTGCGACTGATCGTCGTCCATGAAGCTGAAGCCGTCCTGGCTCGAGTCGGCATCAATTGGTGGCGGTATAACCGCCTGTTGCGAGCCAAATCCACTGCAGGCCGCATCATCGTTGAGCGCTGCAAGTTCTTCATCCACCGAGTCCACATCTCGATGTTTGTCGCGGCTCTTGTGGCGCTTCTCCTTGTGGTGCTTGTGCTTCTTCTCACGGTCCTTCTTCTTTTTCTTTTTCTTGGACTTTTTGTGGCGCTCACGGTGACCACCCGTTTCCTGCAATTCATCAGGCACCGGAGACATCATGGCCTCGGCCGCCGTGGGGGGTCCATCTACCGCGCTGGACGTCATGTGGGAGTTGGAGCTGTACTCAGGAGTGGCCACTTTCAGGATGAGCTTCAGTCCCCGCTGCAGATGGGCCGGATTCTGGTGCTGGCTATATTCTGCACGAACGAACGCAAGCGGCAAAAATGTGTCAGTGGTGTCTCCTCGTCGGGGCGGCTGCGCCATCCACTTACCTTCATATTTATCCCGGCGCTCTGATTTGTTCTTTTTGTGCTTCTTGGAGGAGCCCATGGTCCTGGTGAATGTGCCACCAGTTAGGAAAACAAGTGATAAATTAATTTAATATAAACGAAAAAAAAAGCCAGCGAAAAGACGCGTGTGTCAGTGTGACCAGATCGATAAATATACCGTCCGACTCTCAGAAATATACCAAAATATACAGTGTCGTTACGAAAATATACCGGAAATATACTGACGAATTAAGTTCTATTATACATATTCCTCGTTTTTGATATTCCGTCGAATATTAAATCCTTTTGATGAATCAATTTTCTACAGGATTTACTTCTTTCAACTACTCCCATTTATTGTACTTTGTCTAAAACAAGGTTTAAACAAAAAAGTTCAACAAAAAGGTACATTTTTGTACATGGTAATTACATAGTTGGTACATATTAACTACATATTTATGACATGTGGGCATTTGTGTACTTTACAGCACTTAAGCGATGTATCGATATGCGGTCGATTTAGAAATGCCGCCCTCTCGTCAGCCCTTTGTTATTTCAAACACGTACTTAATTTTATGTTGATTGCTAATCTGTGCTAATTTTATTTAATAGATTTCAGAGCCGTGATTTGTTTAAAGTAAAGTTTGTTTTTGAGACTCCCAGCTAATATTAGAGAATAGCATAAGTCCTAGAAATTTTTCCCTGACCCGCGGCGTTTTGATGGCGAGCGATCTGACATTCGACGCTTATGAACGATGCCACTCGATCGGCTACTGGGAGAAGCAGCATTCATCAGTCGACGGCCCGGTGAAGCAATCCTGAAAGGTCGGCGACCCGGAGAGGCAGCACTGAACGGTCGCCGACCCGAGGCCAAAGAGACCACCTTAATGCCTGAGTTCTTCTTAGCCTTCGCTATGGTGCCTGTGATAGTGCGAGTAGCTGTGAGGCCCTGGAGCGACGTATCCAACTTGTGTCGGATCTTTTCCAGATCGTGACGCATCCGCTGTATGTCCAGAGCTATGGTCTGCCTGTCGCGCTGCAGTCTCTTGTGCTGCAACAGCATTTGCTCCAGCATTACCTTCTGCTGCAACACCTCTCGAATGCGACGCTGATTGTGGAAACTCTTGCCACCAGTATCGTTCAATCCGCGCCGCATCATTACCATTACCTTCTGGTCCAGATCGGCCTTCATGGCCGAAAGGGGAAGGTTTTTCGAATTGCCAGTCGTCACCACACCCGTGGTACTGCCCCGGTTTGAGGAACTGCCGCCTCCTTTGAAGCGCGAGGACCTGCTGCGCGTCACAGACCTGCCGCGCGAGGCGGATCTACTGCGGAGGGACCTGCTGCGTACTGACTTGCTGCGCTTCCGAAAAGTTTTCTGTGGTGGTGCATTCGGAATCACAGCTATGGGCGCTGGTATCGTGGGAATTGCTCTCCGCGGCGGTTGAGTAGCTGTGGCCATAGCGTGCTCGATTTACGATGATTCGCACTTAATTTCCACTCAAGACTTACCCTTCATGGTGGAGTGTATGGTCGACACCATTTTATCAAAGGTCTTGATCACATCCGGCTTCTCGGAAAAATAGGTATCATTGGGAATCTGTTCCTTCGGTTTGATCTTCATGGCGGTCTTATCTCTTTTGTTGCCCAGCTTAAAAATCCCCCCACCCTGCACACGGGGTTCGTTCTGCAGCTGATTCTGCAATATATGAGGCAAATTCAGTCGCTGTGTCATCGTGCCGCAAGCTTATACTCTTCTTGATATTTTGCTAAGGATCAAAAATAATTTAGGTTGCGAATTTTGATGCCAAATGATGCTAAAAGTTTGAAAAAATTAGAATTTTAGACGAAATTGATCTCTCATTTTAGAATTTAGAAATTGAATGCACAAATTTTGTTAACACATATCTCCAGCACTCTATTTTTGAATTCGAATTTAAATTGGAAATAAATCGCCCCCCGAGGCGTGCTTTGCAGCACTGTTGATTGCGATTACCATTCCGATACTATTCCCATCGATTGTTTGATTGTTTTGTTTGCGCTTTTTCTCACATTTTCGTATTTATTTAATTTTGTGCTATATTTATGCTAAATCGTACTAAAGATCGGTGTTATAGATGGCTACTGATGTTCTTGCGGGCCAGCTGGGCATAGATGGTGCCATGCGGCTTGTCCACCGGGATGAAAACCTCATTATTGTCCCCAGGTACAATCTTCTGGAAAGGCTTCGTATCGAAGTTGAAATAATGCTTGTTCGGCATGGTCATGGAGATGACCGACACCTGCGGAATCACATCCAGAACCTGCTTCTCGCTCAGGTACAGGGTGTGCTGGACGGAGGGCGAGGAGACGCCCACCTGTGGATCGCCGGCAAAGTTCCTCAAGATGATATTCTTCACCGTTTGCCAGGCACGCGAAAAGTTGACCGTCTCTGTGTCCGAGTACTCCCAGGAGCAGTCCACTACAGTGCTGAAGATGCGATCATATTGGTCCGGCAGCGAGCGAAACTCATCGTTGACAAAGTTGACGAACGAGGATTGAGTGGTCTTCAGGACGCGAAGGCCCTTGATGCCAGTGATGACAGTTTGCTTGGGATCTACAAGTCACAAGTGGAAGTGGAGTTAAGTAATACTCGATTTGTATTGTCCTGGCACCCACCTGTCCTACGGATTACCACATCGCAGTAGTGCAACGCCGTGGGCGTAAAGATGAAGGCGTGGTTGTGCAGCGAGCGATTGTCAATGGAAGTGAAGTTGTTGCAGCTGCCCTGACCCTGATTATTGACAGACTTTGTCTCATCCTGGCAGACACGCTGCCAGGGATAGGTCTCCACATGGACGTGGGCCTCCTCCACATGCGAGTACTTGTTGAGGAAGTGCTGCCCCAGCATCAGAGCAAACTTCTCGGGACTCTCGATGCCATACTTCTTGGCCAGCAGGTAGACGGTGTTCTTCTGCGAGTCGGTGGCCACGATGTCCGAGTTGTTGCCCTGGTAGTAGTCCTTCTTGCTGTACAGCTTCAGGTGAGTGCCCACCTCGAACTCCTGGATGGTGTGCACGGGTCCCTTCCTGCTTACGTGCAGCACCTTTACAGCATCCTTGCCGTAGCCGTGATCGGTGATCTCGTACTGAAACGGCGTCTCCTGGCCATCCATTGAGACTGCTGGCCTAGCACCGCTGGCATTGGTGGGCTGTCTTAGGGGCGTGGCAAACATTCTAACTGCAATTCTGTTCGGATAATGACTGACTGATGCCTAATCGCCTCCAGGCCGATCTTTTTATACAAGCGCAATCTTGATCACAGTCACGTAGTGCAAGTGTACCACGGGATTTGATGCGCAAAATTTAGTAGAAAGTGGAGCGGACCGTGTGCGCCGTTTATCTTTTCCCCCAACTTAAGTTCTTAGAGGGCTTACGAGTGCTCATTCTACGTACATTTCTACAGAAGCCCATTTAACGCCTTGCTGCATGCAAATATGACTAATCCCCGAATGATTGTCAAGGTCTGGAGCCCTGTTGTCAAGCTTTCTATCTCCAGACCATGTAATGACCATGCTTACTTTCTTTGGGTATAATATTTGAACACTATTTTGCAAGTGATAAGGTGTACATATAGAAATGTTATTACAAAGTCTGAGAAGTTGTAAGATTTTACTGCTTCTCTTAATTCACAATCTCCACCGGCTCTCTTTCTTGGTAACATTTTTAGTTGAATATTGTAAATACTTTATAGATCCTAAGTGATCAGTAGGGTAATAGGGCACTATATCTTACAATATCTTAGGAATGGATATAGAATTTTAGCAATCTCCTCAAAGAAAAAAATTCATAGAGTTTTGGACCTTGGACCTGGAAAATAATGACTGTTACGCCTTTGAAAGAAAAATTGAACACCTTTCATCAGAGCTTTATATATCAAGATCCCAAGATTTTCTATAACATTCTTAGGCTAGACCAAGCGAAAGGCGCATAATGATGTGATCGTTTTTTGGTTCTATTCATTCGAGACTCCTTTACTGATTTATAGATCTTTCTCCACACCGATATAGTCATAAATTGTATATTTTATGAGTTTCTCAATTAAATTTAGGGATCGGAGACTATAAGTAAATGATGACTATAAGTTGAACCTGAAATTAAAGCTATAAACCACACCTGGAAGGCCTTTGGGAACTGCTTCTGCTTGAGATTTAAAAGCTACTCTCTTAGAAGCTTAGAAATCTTCATAGCACCGCTTATCAGGCAAAGTCTTTGCCAAATTCTGGGTAGGATTCATGGTAATTCCCCATGTCAACAGCCAAAAGCAACCCAAGAGGAGATATATATGGTATGGTCACAAAAAGCTGTTTTATTTACTTGACACTGTTTTTGTTTTGTTGTAGGCAAGATGCAAGACGCTCCCACGACTCGAAATATTTGCGTTTAGCTCATCGGCAGTTACATAAGTGCCATGGCTATGGAGCCCCGAACCCAGCGGAAATATAAAACGTTTCGTTTTTGATCAATGTTTGTGAAGTGAGAGTTGGAAATGGTTTTACACGGGGCAAACTTCCGATTTTAAGCAACAACCCAAGAGGAAAATATTTGAACAGCTGCCAGAACAAACAAACAAGTGAGAGCGATAAGTGCGACACATCAACTTTATAGCTAAGGGGATTATCCGGTGGTATATGTTCTGCCCCGAAATGAAATGCGACTTATATGATCTTGGATGATGGTAGATCATAAACGGAGGAGCTACCCCAGAAGTCGCAGGAGACTTCTGATGAATGGAATAAGAATAAGAATGAATGGTGATTAGATATGCACTCGGCATATTTGTATGATCTTGATGATGGAAGAACCCTCCCCTCACATGTGGGTGAATCATCTTTGCCAAACTTTAGCTTGGAATGCAATCTAATAGTTGGTGTTTTTATGAGGCTTTTGGCACCTCGAATACTTGCTGTCCACCTGTTAGGAGTACTCCCTACTTGGCAACAGGTTCAGTGAACTAAAATGCCAGTTATGAATGAGATGGGGCCCAGTCTGGGGGACAAGTGATGGCTTTTGTTGTGCGGTCGACAAACAAAAGTGCAAATTGTTTGGGCCTGCGGCAGAGTGAAAACCCAAGCGACGCACCCCACATATTTTCGGAGGCAAACAGCAGTTCGAACTGCGAAGTGAACCGCAACGAGTTAGTTGCGTTTCAGAGCGCTTTAACAGCGGACGGACACATCGGACACATGGCCCTCAAGGAGCTACCACCAGCAATTATTGCGTTCGTGCTGAGTCTCGTCTGTGGGGGACTCCAGGCAGCCGTGCACGATGAGCTGCCCCAGTGCGGGCTCCATGGCATCTACAGGCAGCGGCAGAGCCTCATCGAGTCGCCCAACTATCCGGACAACTATCCGGTGAACACCTGCTGGGATTACGTGATACGCTCGCCCTACCGCTGCCCCACCAAGTTCCACATCCAATTCCTCGACTTTAAGCTAGAACTCTCGGAGAAGTGCAGCCGGGATTACCTGGCCATTGGCCTGGAGAACGACGGCGAGGACATGGATGTGCTCTGCGGTCAGGTGCTGGGCATCAAGAAGTATCACACACCCGACGGCGTCCTGCGGTTGCGCTTCCTCAGCGACGAGTCGCCATGGACTACAGGAGGAGGCTTCCGACTGCTGGTCACACGTTTGGCCTGTGAGAGAGAGGACCTGGCCGCCCGGGGCTTGGATGCCGACGACGAGGACGGTGTGGATGTGGGTGATGATGACACGGTGCAAGTGAATGCCAAACTGCCGTCCAAGAAGCAACATCATCATCACCATCTTCTGCAGCCGCAGCAGCCGCAACAGCAGCTGCCATTGAACTTTACCCAGCAAAGTCCTTGGGGATTCAACGTGGGCTGGCCTGCTTCTGTGCCGCCTCCACTCTATCCCCAAGGAGGACCACCTGGAGGCTTCTACCTGCCTCCTTCAGGACTGCCACCTCAGCACTCACCGCCCTGTGTGCCACAACAGCAGAAGGAGCAACTGTTGCAACAACAGCAGCAATTTCTACAGCAGCAGCAGCAGCAATACCTACAGCAGCAACAACTTTTGCAGCAGAATCCCTTACAACAGCAGAACCTTCTACAGCAGCAGCAACTGCAGCAACAGCGACAGCTGCAACAATTGCAACAGCAGCAGCAACTTCTGCAACAGAATCCACTGCAACAGCAGCAGCAGCAGCAACAATTGCAACAGCAGCAGCAACAATTGCCGCTAATCTCTGACCAGTATCAAACAAGTGCCTTCCAGCCTCAGGCGGTGACCCTCAAGGACTACGACTCCCAGGGTCTGCAGCAGTTTGGTGGATCGCTGGATCTGTGCTGTTCCAGTAGCTTCAATCAGAATCACTTCTATCTGTCGAGTCCTGGCTTCCCAAGGACTGTCCTGAACGCCTTGCTGCCCAATCAACAGAGAGATTGCGTATTCTACATCGAGAAGAGTTCCCCGAACGTCTGCCGTCTGAGGATTCAGTTCAAGTTCTTTGATTTTGGCCAGAATTCAGGAGGAATAGGAAACGGAATTGCTGGAGGCCTGGGTGGAGCAGGCATCGGTGGCGGATTGGGAGGAGGCTTTGGAGGAGGCGGTTTCAGTGGAGGCTTGGGTGGACAACAATCCTGCACTGGCGACTTCTTGGAACTGGATGGTCAACGGTATTGCGGCTGTCGTTCCGGCTACGTCCACAAATCCCACTGGGGCCAGGGCCGCAAGGCATTGCGCATGCGGATGGGCCAGTCGGGCAGCACAACTTCCAATGGCTTCCTGCTGGAGATATACCAGGACCAGGACTCCGATGGCTGCCGTCAGGATCCCGGAGCTGGCTTAGGACTGGGCTTGGGCGTGGGTCTGCAACAGCAGCCGCAGCAGCAACAGCAACCGCAGGCAGGCCTGGGTCTAGGTCTAGGCCTCTGGCCCCAAGGGGGATATCCTTCGCTGCAGCAGCCACTGCACTCTCAGATCTGGCCCATGCAAGGAGGCTACCCGGGATACTTGAATCCAGGCTATCCACTGCCATTTGCTGCCTCTCCATATCGTCAAAGCAGACGCGTGTCCTGGGCTCGGGGCTTGGATGAACATCAGCCTTCGCGGGTGGTCGAAACCAACTCCACGCGTAAGGAGTTCTACTACTTTGATGGCGACGAGGCTTTTGCCCGCTCTGCCTTGGACGACGAAGAGGACAAACTTCCTGTTGGAGTGCAAGTACAGCCACAGGCGCTATCCCAGACCCAGACACAGCCTCAATCCCAGCTGGCCACGAAGGCCTTTGAGCAGAGCAGCTGCACATTCGACTACATGGAGGTCCTGAAGCTATCCGTGGACACACTCTGGCTGACGAAACCGCTGTGCTTTTCCCCGCTGAGGAGCTGGTTCCCCAATATCTTTGGCTAGGCGGAGCGGAGTATTTAATGTAGTTGAATATTGTTTCATCAAGTAGATGACGCGGCTTTGTGTGTTCTATCCCCTAATCTGCGATCTTAGCTCTCTGTATCTGTATCTTTGTATCTCCACGAGGCAATTGTGTTGACGTCATACCAAATGCATGAAATATATGACAGAAAAAGTGCCTTGCCTGTAGTCTCTCTCTCTCTGCTTAGTCATCGGTGTGGGGCACTCTCACACGCACTGTGGTCATTACCAAGAATGAGGCACGAGCTTCCCGCCTGGCCCTCCTCCCCACCCACTTACTGTGACGCTACCCGCTTCCGCTGTCATCCACAGCAGCTCGGTCTCTTCATATAGATAACCTCTGTGGCAAGTTGTTGTCTGACAGCAAACACAAGAGCACCGAGAATCTCTGCTCAATGTCAGGGCAGAGCCAGTGCCAGTGCCGGCGCTAGCGCCTTGCCAGCATTCTAGCATTCACACTTCCATCCAAGGTGTCACCTCGTTTTCACAATCACAGTACTTATGTGGGATAAACAAAGAAGGGGATTTGTAATGGAAGTGGACATGGCCGAGGCTTACAAAATCTCTCTTTGAGTCATTGTATTCTCTGGAAAGTTAGCCTCCAAAGATCTAACCTTGAATCTCCAAGGAAATTGAATGGTAATTGGGACAAGGCATTGGATTAGTGCCAAAGAAAAGATCTTAGTACTAAACAAAGTACTCGCATTTCAAATTTAATAGAAAGGCTCTCGCATAGTATTTGCGTGAATCAATAGCTGATTCGCAACCAAAGCTAAGTGTCTCATGGAACTCCAAAGCATTCGAAACATATGGATCGTATGCATTCAAAAAGATTCGAATCAACAGGAATCATTAAACAGTTGTGCAGATCTGGAATCATGTTACGTTGTGTTTCGAGTCCAGGCACTAAAGTATTCCTAAACTTTCTTTGCTTTTCCTTTACATTTATAAGTTCTTCTTATAAATTTCTTATCTAAATCTGATTGTTATTCCTATATTATTAATGAAAAATATTATTCACTATCTCTATTTTTTTCTGCTGTGAAATACTCTTTTGAAATAATTGTTCTTTCATTTAAGATTCATGTATTCTTCAATTAATTTCGAGAAAACAATCTTTTTTTGTTGGATTTGTTGACACATTCTTCTCCATTATCTGATCTCTCTTCTTTCCACCCAATCGAAAGAAAAACTCACTTTGCCGTATATAATTGCACAGGAATAATTGTATTTTAAGGATTTATTTATCGACTTTACATTATATATAGCAGATAATACATACACATAGATATTAGTACACACGTAGATATATCGGTATATATATACACATTGATATAGCAATGATATTTAGTTGCGGGGCTCCGTTTATTGGATTATAATACTCGTGGCTTGGACCGTGAGGGAGAGACGGGACCGTTCACGGGACGATTAAAACGTTTTAATGATATGGCAACATATATTTTTTGTTCGTAATCGTTTCGTTTAGCAATTAACACTTGGAACGAGAACGAGAACAATAGAACTTTGTCTAAATAGTTAGTATATACAACACATTGAGAGCTACTATAAAAGTTTTAATTGTCTACAATTAGAGTTAAGGTAGAAGGGGTTGTGGGGGCGAGGGCAGAAAGGAGCACGAGATATCCGCTCTAAATGTTCTCTACAAAGTTTGCTTTAGTTAGTTAGTTTAGGCTAATTGTTAGTGCTTGTTGTTCTCCAGTTTAGCGCTCGACTTTGTCAGCAATATACAATTGATGCTTGGTATACATATGTGTGTCCTCTGTACGTGTGTGTGGCTGTGTGTTTGTGTGTGTGTGTGTGTCCTCTAGGGTCCTATAGGAGAGTCCGTCTTCTTCTTAGCCCAGAAATCGTATATTGGTGAAGACCGCCTTGGCCGGACGCTTGCGATTGCAAAAGTTCACGGTCTTGCTGTGATTGCCCTTGCGATTCTCATGGAGATTGATGAGAAGCTTCAGGATATCCTCCTTGCTGGGCGTACAGGCGTAACGCAGCTCCGGTTCATAGTTGCTGTTGATAGAATTCATGTAAGAACTGATAATGGATAACAGTTATGTAATTAGAAAGATCTTTCACGATATCACGTTCATTAGACGGTAGTAATATTCGCAGAGGGTTGGTTGGTTCTCAGTTGGGATTCGGTTTCAGTGTGTCTTTCTGTGTGTGGCCTAGAGAGACTCTTAGAGATGGCATTAGACATGTTATAGACATTTAATGTTCGGGGTTGCTCCTCAAAAGGCCAGAACGGATTCCGATCGGAAACTATGGTTTTGAAGCTTAAGTTTTTGGGGAATCCTCTGCTGGCGCTTTGAGCAACATTCCCCTGATTATTTCTATGGTTTCGAAACAAAAAAAAAACTAGAAGGTTATCCTGGGTTTAAGCTACTACCAAAAACATTCACTAACTACAAACAAAAACGTTGGGGGGGTAGCGGGGGGAAAGGTAACTAGGGATCTAAGACTATGGCAAAGCTAGCAAGTGTTTTTGGGGGAGATTGGAGTGTTTTGGGTGATTGTGTGGGATGGAAATGGAGACCTACCCGCGATTCTTGTTGTGACGCTTCCACGGATAGCGACGGTAGTAGCGCGAACGCTTCGGCTTGCTCTGGCCCAGGACCAGGTCCTGAACGCTGTTCTCAATTTCGGCATACTCATCCGTGGCCGTGGCCGGGGCGGAAGCAATCACGCCCTCGGGCTGCTCCTCCTCCTCTTCGACGTAAACCAGGGGCAAAGTCTCCAGCGTGGGGTCCTGAACGAAACACAAGAGGTTCAGCTAGCTATTTCCTTTACGTTTCCTCCCACTCGCGTCTTCACGTACCTCCAGCATTTTCATGAGCAAAGCGGATTTGTCCACCAACTCCTGCTCGGCCCGTAAATCCTCCTCCAGCTTCTTGAGCGTCTCAAACTGATTGGCCAACTCCAGTTCATTGTAAACGGTGTCCGCATAGTCGGGCTGCTGCTGCTGCTGCTGGGGGATCATTGCCATGCCCAGTCTAAGGCCCAGCTCCTGCTCCTGCTCCTGCTCCCGCTCACGCTCCTCTTCGGCATTCAGGGCGTGCAGCAGCTCTGCCATGAAATGAGCAAACCAAAGTCCTTATTTGCGGTTTTAATGTTTACTCAAGTTGCCGCTAATCCGGCCACAACTTCCTTCAACCATTTCCTACTCTCGGAGATGGATGCCCCGCCCTGCCTCCTGCCCCCTCCCATGAGCACTTCCGCCGTTTGACATTTGAAAGTTTGAATAGTTTGTGTTTGTTTGTGTCTGTCGACTGCCTGACGCCTCCTCGGCTACCGCCGCTCCATTCCGAGGCTTAAAAAACATATTTTCCCTTTGCGTCGTTTCAATACTCGTACACGGACGGAAATTGACTGGCGGCAATGAGTTTCACTCTATATTCAGTCGCATCTCCATCTCTTTTGCGTAGCCCTATTCCCGTCTTGTTGACGTCAACAGTCAGTCAGTCCGTCCGTCCGTCCGTCCGTCTGTTGACTGCTGCAGTCTGCCTTTTGTCTCCTGTCTGCCTGTCACTCTACACCCGGAGGCTTTGTGTTCTCCCCGGTTTCAACCTACAGAGTGAGGCCCTTCACAGTGAAGTTCAGCCAAAAATGCCTAAAAGTGCAACTCTTTGATCCAAAGGAGGTTTAAAATGCTTGCTAAATCACTGCTTTGATATCATTGATAGATGGTAATCATAGGCACTTAAGCTTCTATTGTTTGAAGTGTTTCCTAGAAATATGCCATAAAGGGAGCGACTGTACTTGCACTGTATTTGGTAGAATGTTAAAGAATGCCTTAGGCCATTTCCATTTGCTCGTATAAAAAATCAATTGAAAAACCAGTCGAATTATCAATATTCAGTGATAGCAGTGGGCGCAAAGGGTAGGGTTGCCAATGCTGCTGAAGTGGAACTGGAACCGGAGCCTTGGGGTGACGTAAAACGCAAACGTCAAATCAAATTCATCAAAGAACTCAAAAAAATAGCGACAAAACTGTGGGCGTGTTAAGTGCTGTACACACACACACACACACAGAGGGCCACAAGGACACAAGTCAATACATGTGTTAAAGGCACTTCAAAAATTGTTCATTGACCGAAAAATGTTCAGCGAGCAATCCCTATCTTCACCCATTGTGTCCATTATAATCACGGACGATGGCGCACGGGCAGTGGTTCCAGTGGTTACGGCTAAGTGCATGCCATGTATCACCATTCCCCCCGTGTGCCGCCCCCGTCCATGCCCTTCTGTTTGGGTCGCCTAAAAGTCGGCAAACACAAAATTTGTCCACAAATGAGATTCCCCGGTTGCCTGGCGACGAACTTTGACCCATTTAATTGTCATATCAATGCCTTTTAGATGTGCCCTTGGGCGATTTTCCAATCGAAGTGGGATTAGCCACGCCCTGCACCTGGACTAAGTCCCTCAAGATTGCCTGCCTGTTGGGGCCATTGGCAGCAACTCTTCAAGTAATTCAAGTTTATGACTCACCATCGCCGGGATCGTAAACCGCTCGTTCCTGGGCATCGGCATCCAGCGATGGGGGGCCCTGACGACGCGCCTGATGGGACTGGAGGCCACCAAAGATGGGCGCCAGATGTAGTCTCTGTGGCGAGGATGCACCATCGACGCCACCATCCACTGTGGCGGGTGCTGCGGCTGCGGCCGTTTGGCTCTGGGAAGTCAGAAAGCCAAAGACGTGCCGTGTGCTACAGCCCAAGATCAGGGTGGCCAGAATGCAGACGGAGAGCAGGTCGGGCTTCATGTTGGCGCTGTTGCCGTTGCTGTTTGCACTGGTTGTATGTTGTTGTCCTCGGGATTACTGCAAGGCAGAAATGGAGATGTATGTACATGATGGTAATTACCGTCACTACCATTACAGCTAGAGCTGAATGCCACTCCCACTCCCACTCCCGCCTCCAGCCTCCCTCCGTTTCGGTGCGTGTGCGTGTGGGCGCCTCGCTTTTTGTGTTTAAGCAAACAATGCACGCATAAACACGCAAACAAGACAGGAACCCACGAAGAAGGAGGCGACAAACGAAGAGTGTGAGAGAGGGAGAGGGAGCAGCTCCAAAAGCGTCTGTTAGATAACTTCGCAGCTCCCTTTCGTTGCTTCTCTCCCTCTCTCCGCCTTCTTCCTTGCTTAATCTGTCTTCTCGCGCGCGTGCACAGTGGAATGGCATGCGATGACAAAAAGTGTGTCATTTGTCATTTACAATATTATATTTTCTTGCATTTCCGCATTACGAGCTTGGGCGACATGGGCGTTCGATTTGCAGTCATTTATCATTATTGGTATACAGCCACAGTTAAAGGCCAAAGGTCTAGACTAAACACTGAAAAACATCAGACAATTCTTGAGGTGAACATTGAAAAAGGTTCCCCAACAGTTCACCATATCTCAAGTATCTCAAGACATTACAAAACTTCAGACAAGAATCAAAAATAATACACTTCTTCAGGTAGCATTGAAAAAGGTTCCCTTATGGTTATGTCCTTTATATCTTCCATAAGGAACTGCTAATTCCTTGGTCGTTCCCCTGGTATCCCTATTTCTTGCAGCTCTTTTTCGCCCCACCTTGAACCACTGTTCGCTGGCGGGGTCCTGTTGTTTTTGGTGCTGCTTTGTCATGGACTGCACCGCGTTTCCATTATGCGGCCACTGTGGTATGCGTTGTTGTCGTCTCATTTAATTAGCTGGTGGGGCGGGGAAGTCGGGTGTTGGCGGCGATGACAAGGAACGAGTGGGTGCTGCTGGGGGACTAGGACCGAAGGTCGGCTTAACCCTTCCGATGTGGATTTGCAGCCCATTAGCCGAGGCTGAGCCCCGAGCCCAGGAGCCCTGGAAGGGGCTTCTCCTAGTCTTTTATCTTGTTTTTTCTTGCTTCGTTTAATAACTTTTGCCCTGATGAATATTATAAATGGGTTGCAGGGAACTTTTGGCACTTGTGGCCGCGTGGAGACGTCTAGGATTGGCTTAATTTGTTAGCCAAAGGAAACCGAGAAAAAGCAGCAAAGAGAAAACAGAACCAAGGAAGAAAACCCGATGTTTACTCTAAAAATATAACAGCGTGAATGGGGCTCAAAAGTGTGAAGACTTATCCAGTGAAAAGTGATGAAAAGTAATTTCTAAAAATGGTTGAGGCTTTGTTGGCCGCAGCTTTATTTTCCATTTATTTCCAGCCATTTTCAGCAGGAGACAATAAAATTCCAATAAAATGTCTTGCCTGCGGAAAACATTTCCCATGTAAATTCAATAAAATTATACGCCTAATTAGCCTCATGAACCCGAACATATAAATCAACTCATACACGCCCCAATCAAAGAAAAAGAAACCACGAAATCTGCTACAATTTCCCATTTGCCAATTTATTAAAATTGTCTCTGGGAGGCAGATATTTTCTGTTTACCATTTCCCGGCACGTTTCGATTCAGCTTGATTGAAATCATTCAACTCAAGTGTGAAGCTTTTAATTTGCATAAAACAAAAGAAAATTCTTCCTGTTTGCATGTGACATCGACATTTTGCTGGTAATTGTGGCCAAAAATAAAGTTTTTCACTTCATTTCGCACTGTATTTTTCTTGAAATGCAAATAATGATAATTCTCAACATAAATTGCAATAAATCTCTGGCTTCGGGCACTACCTCTCACCAGGGAACAGGGAAAACTTTTTCAATTACTTCATTTTGATTGGCACTCAAAAGTAGGCAACACTTTTCGGGCTCGTTGTTGAAGAGCGGAAGTTCAAGAGAATTGGAGTAAACGAGTGGGAGCTTCAGAGAGAAAGTGAGTCCGAAAAGAGAGTGTCAGGAGGGAAAAACAAACAAAAACGGAATCGTTGTCAAAATGCTTTAATTAACTTGTTGACACAAAGTCCAAAAGTGGATGAAGACCGAAAAAAAAACCAGTAACAAATTAGAACTATAGGATACCCAATAAAGAAAAGATTGGGCAGTACTTTCTACAAGATCTTCGTTGGCATTGATGAGACTTCCATTGGAAGTAGTTTTCTTCATTGTAGGTTTACCCCGATCCCAATACTAGTAGGCAGATCCTTCCAACAAGGAGTTAGATATTCTATGGAGTCCATAACACTTCCTTCTGCCATACAATATACCCTCAAACATCCTACGAACATTTGGGGTACAAAAGTGTCCCAGAGGTAAAATGAAATTAATTTAGTGGCCAGAACGGGGGGCAGGACGAGGGGCAAAATAAGTGAGTGTATGGCAACTGTAACAGCATATCCTTCCTGTCACCTGTTTTTCCTCCTTTGTTTTTTCGTGTGTGCCATTCGTTTTCGCAATAACCGCACGGCTAATTGCTAAATTGAGCAAAAATACAGAAGAAACTGGGCCCTTGCCCAACGGGGAACATGGGGTAAGGTTTGCGTGGGCTTTGACTTTCTCCCACCTCCGCAAAACTTGACATTTGTAGTGCACTGTAGGGCAAAAACTTGTTTAATTAACGTTGACTAAGCGTGATTAAACGGTAGGATAAACCTGGACATGGTGGGAATTCGGCTTGAGGCGAGACAAGTGCATCTGACATATGGCCGAGGACCAGAGCCAATTAGTCAGGCTCTGCCCGATGTCCTAATCCCCAAGAGATGCCTTTACAGTCCATGCCTTTGCAGTTGATGTCGATTATATAATTCCATATTTATTGGATTGGACCAGCTGGGGCACCTGTTAAAAGTACCATTCAATGGTGGCGAGACAGTGTCCAAATTTGGCAGGAAATTTCAAAGGTTACATAAAAATGTTGAAGGCGAAACAGATGTCGGAGAGTAGCCCGTATTTTTGGGGTTACAGTTGTGGGTGGATAGCTCTGTACTAATTTCATCTGAGTATTTTCGGGTGCACTTTCATCAGCAATAAACCAGAATAAAATCTCCATTGATGAGGCCTACCCTAGGCAGTATTTAAGCCTAGCAACGGACCCTGCTTAAGACCTTCATCGCAGGCAATATTCAGTCAAGTACGAGCCTCACATGATATGGGATATTAGGAGCGATCTTAGAGGGGGAATGGTACTGCCTGCGGTCTTGAATTTGATCCCCAGGATAGTTGGAGAAGGCCACATACAGAAATAGTACAGGACAAATGCCAGTGGGGGACACCGATGGAACACCTTCGATTTCTCTTGTATTTTCAATAATTTCTTCTTTACTTTTGATTCCATTCTCAAGGAATTTTCGCACGTGATACACAACGGGTTTGAGCAAAACGGAAATGGAGGGAGAGCCAATGTCACCTCGACAACATTTTTCTGCAAGTACTCGTATTCAAGGCGTCTATTTTTTTCTATATTTGTTTCCCAAAGAGTCTTCTGCATTGGTTTATTTGCGCTTGACATTTATGTCTGTACTCGAGGGGAATTCCTTGAAGCTGTGAGCATTTATAAAATATTTAATCAATGCTCTGGACAGGCAACAAAAGTTTTTAAATTTTTAAACATTTGAAACAGTCGTCATTACTTTTTTGTGTGATTAAAATGGCACTAAAAATGCTACCTATAAAAAATGGTTGGATAGGTGATGGATTAATTGTTAAAAAATAAAAGAGTCTTTCCGAAATTACAAAAGGAAGTTCGTTTTTCAAATAGAAGAATGAGAGGCGTTAGAAGTTGTGTAGGAAACTATCGAAATTTTATAGAATCACAAAAATTCCGGACCAAGAATTTTGAAGGTTATTAATTTGTAAATAAAACTTTTACTTTTGTTTTGAAATCATAGTACATCCATTCTACCCAAACTTTAGAATTAGTTTTTATTTTTTTTATGTCACTTTTAAATATATTTTAGCCAAGGGCCAAGCTCATAAGCAAGTATTGTTCTCATTAAAATGTCTTCTATTTTTTTTGATATTATATACTTCTGAAGTTCTTTAGGTTACACCCACAACAAGTAAAACCTTTCATTTGACACGCATTCTGTCCGACATTAAAGTTGATGACGAAAGCGACGGCATTTCTAAGATTTCGCGTTGGGTCTTTGAGTATCCTTTAGGCTTTACGCTTTAGGCAAATGTCTTTAAACACTGACCCCAAAACTGAGTTTATTTTGGGAATATCTTTCAGGGGTTTACATATCGTTTATTCCGTTTGGCGGCGTACTGCGTTCTGCACTCACTTTCAAGTATCGTTTTAATCCGTTTCACTTGCTTCTCTCCTTGGATGGACACTGGGAACTGGGAACCTGGAACCTGGAGGACTGGTCTGTCTGGTCTGGTGTCAACTGTTGCTCCTACTACTTGTTGAGCACTGCGTGGTTGACTCGCCTAGCCGACTCCTTTTATAAAGGCCACGCATATGCCGAACCGACGGCGAACCCGATACCGACTGGGGACGAACGATGACGAGGCCCCTCCCGACCGGGGCGGTTGTGGGACTCCACATCCGATGTTAAGGCGCCAAAAAAATTGCCTAAAAGCTTGCAAAGCTTTCACGAGCCGCCACCAAAAGTGCGTGGCTTCCTTTGCACTCTCCTCCGTCGGGTCAGGTCTTTAGATTCCCAAAAATGTTTTTCTTCTTATCAATGAAATATTTAGCTCGCATTTAGAAAAATTTAGCGCCCGCTCGCGATATTGTCTGATGAAAAATTTGGGGGCGTAAAACAAAGCCAAATTTTAGGCAATTATTTAACGAAAAACAAGGATATGCGCCGCTAAGTAGGCAACAAGTCAGCGAGGAACAGGCGTCACAGGGTCAACACCTAGGGAAAAGTGACGGGAGCAGGTCCTGGCTGCCTGCCACAGAGAGTGGGATTTGTTGACAATACACCGCGTGGAATATGCCAGTGCGACGCGGCTTTTGATTCGTGGAATTTCCAAGAAGCGTGGGCGCGTCTTTGCCCTCTTAGGGGACCTCTCCGATGATGACGTCGCGGAAATCCCTATAATGCAAATCCTTCTAGAATTTAAAGCGATTTTGGACTTTGTTTTCTCCCCTTCCAAAAGCTGCATTGTCATGATTCGACTGGCGGGATATACATACCAATGAGGTTCCGAAATAACCATTTATTAATAGTTTATTAATAGACTGGTGTGATGATTGTGGTAATGTGGGGCACAAATAGACCGACGGGATCATAAATCTCTGATTGAGGGTGTTGATTGGGGGAGGGCTAATAAATCTGGGGTGTAGTACTGGCACTGCAAGTGTTGACTGCCAAAAATTAGCCGGAACTTAATATAGGGTGATTCAATGGTAGGGGTCTATGGGTTGGAGACTGGAGTACTGGAGCTATCGATAAATTATCATTAAATTATTGTTCTATATCGATAAATGTTCGATCTGAGCTATTTATAACCCCTCCATTTCCATTTGTTAACTCGAATTGAAGAACTTTCCTCCAGGTTTCCATTATCCTTCACCTCACTCAATCGTCTCACATAAGCCTTCTCTTCTTTCACTTCCTCAGGAACAAATCCCCGGCAAAGGCAGACACAAACAGCCCGCAAACCTGAAACCGTGTGGGGGCAGAGCGGCGGAGCGAGAGGGGCAGGACCACTCAGAAGTCAACAACCGCCGTGGCGACTGGCCGCAGGCCAAGAATAAAAGACACTTTAAAGTGAAATGGCCGTGAGTAATGGAGAACAATTCCACCTGATTTGCATGCGCTACGATTGTCCCCCTTCGATCCCCCCTCGGTTTTGTTTTCAGTGTGTGTTGTTTTGGCCTAAAAGGCGGCACAAGAAAATAAGCATATATAGGGTTTTCTGGCCAATTGCCTGGGGCAACCGAAGATGACACTTACCCTCCAAACAAAAAAAAAAAAAAGAAAACAAAAACCAATAGCAATATCTCGCTGAAAAGTTAAAGTGTTCCATGAGGGAAGAAATGGGGGGAAGCCATATAGGGGCTGAGAAAAGTCATATTTTTGGATATAAACAGGACTATTTTTAGTCATTCTCTTGTTTTGTTTTCTTTTCTATCTCCGTGTCCTTCACGTTGGAATTGTCTTAAACGGTTTCTGCGAATTGCATCAGTCCGAAATTCCCCGAACCCACCCACACACCCACACTCCACGGGAGGGCCTCTTTCAAGTGCGTCACGGTGGGGCTTGTGCAATCGGGGCATATGTGTCGCGTCGCTCAAAAAGCGGGCGACGTGCAATTGATAATGAAATTATCGCTAACTAATTACGCTGAGATTTTCCAGGGGTGTTCTGGAAGACTCTTTCGCTGGCAATCCGCTTAGAGTAATGATTGAAACATAATCCTAATTGATTTCAATCAGTTTTCTTAGTCTTCAACGTCTTTTTCCAGTTGAGAGATTTTCAGGCGAAACTGTTTCGCAGAACATCCCCCATATCTCCCGCTGGTCGTATCACAAAGCAAATATTTGTAGCATACTTGTCGGCGGGCCCGTGAAATGTCCAATAAATAGCCGATGAGTCTTCCGCTCAGTAACTGGTGTGTTTTTGTATGATTTTTCGGTACGTTTTATTGGTATGATTATACGGGACTATCGGCTCGTCAGCTCGTTACAGCCTTAATTAAACCTCCATGACAGATATCAACAATCAAATCATAGCGTCTGATGGACAGTTCTGCTGACGTTTCCCAATGATTGTATTCTTGTAACAACAACAAATCGATGAGGTTTCTGCAAAATTTGTGTGAAATATTTCAAAACCAACAGGGAAATGAAATATTTGTCCAATCTTTTAAAAAACTGTTGTTTGGAAATGGAAGCAGGAGAAGCAACTGATGGTTCTCTCTGCCGAACGATGATAAACGTTGAATAAAAGCCTCTGGAGCTTAGGCTGGCTTGGCCTCCGGCTCATGATCGGAGCTGGGTACTTCGATCTCTTGCTCCTCGGCACCCTCCTCTTCGCCCTCTTCGACCTCCTCAATGATGTCGCCCATTATGATCTCTTCAGCCAGTAAATACAGCTCGCGAATATCCTGGAAAAGAAAACGATATTAGAACGATTTTCCCATGTTGAGCCTCTTTCGGAGCCACCTTGGCATTGCGGAGGGCCACAATCTTCTCATCCTCGAAGCGCAGCTGATCGTACTGCTGCTTGGAGATGAGCAAGCCTCTGTTGAACTCGTCCTCCATCTCGGCCTCCAGCTCCTCGGCGTACTGCTGCTTGGCCAGGGTCAGGCTGACGGCATCCTCACTGATAATGGTCTCGTCGGAGACATCGGTGATATCGTCCATGTACTTGGTCGGCAGTTGACCATGGATCGAGTCCAACGATGTATCCCGAATGGTCGTCTCATTGCTGCCGCGGTGCGCCTCCTCCATGAACTCGTTCAACTCCTGGCCCGTAATCTGGGTGTTGCCGTCCTTCAGTTTGCCCTCCAGCTGGTTCCGTATACGCAGCTCCGTTTCGCGGAACTTTTGTCTAAAAACAGACGACTTTCGGGTGACACATGCGGCAGGGTTTGTACTGAACACCTTACCTAGCCCTCACTATGTTCTGTATGTCCAACGGATCCGACGAGAAGGGCTGGGAAACGCGCAAGGAACGCTCCTTCATTTTGGCACGCTCCGACTCAAGGAACTCCTTCAGGCTCTGCTCGCACTCGCGCCAATCCTCGTTCTCAATGCTGTGGGCGAAGGCGGAAAGGCAAAGGTTTTTTTTTCATTAGCCTCGCGATTCCGTAACATTCAACTCATGCATACTAATGGGCGGGCTCCTGGCTAAAATGCTTTAGCGACAGCAAAACGCTTCTATCGTACAATACCCTTCTTGGCATAGGGTTATTAGGGTGATTAGAAGGGAGTACCTTTCGGAATCGTTTAGCGGATTGTATCGATAGAACTCCTTAATGAATGTTAGCAGAGAAGAGCTGCACTTTAAAGGAAGAACATGATAGATTTAGGAAGTGGTAACTGTTCTTCTTCTGGATGAAGTATGATTAAAAAATTTCAAATACCTATAGGTAGGTTTTGTAAAATCAGAAGTAGGAGAAATTCATATTATCTAACCATTTATAATACCTTATGTGTCTTTCCTGTTCCTTTTAACAGATCGGTTTGAAGATATTTTGAAAAAGTAGGACAGACTTTTCAGAGTTGAAATTTAAAAGGGATATCTTCTTCAAGGATTCTTACGTTACTTCAAAGGGTATACCTTTTCTATCATAATTCCTATACTATACCAAATGATCATCTAATCTTTCTTCAAAAACATTAGAGTATATCTAGAATCACAGTCAAAACTTGGTCATAATTTCTCGCCTTGTAGCCCATTTAAGCCATTGGGTTTATCTTGACATATCTCTCCGCCCACGTTCCGCGAAGGATAAAATGCTTCCCAGGCGGCGTTAAGCGACAACGCGGAATAATGTACTGTTATTGTTGTGCCTTTTTTTAATTTTGCCAACTTTCGCCCGCACATTAAAGACTCATTAAAGGCGGAGGAAGGACTTACCGCAACAGGTCCATGCCTCGCTCGGCATCCTCCGTTCGGTACTGTTCCACCAGGAGCTTTTGGGCGCGCTGCCTCTCGCGTTTCTTGGCCAGGAGCTCGGCCTCCTGGGCCGCATGCTGGAGGCGCTCCCGTTCCCATTTCACGCCCTGCAGCTTCAGACGTTCCGCATTCTTCTCCCGACTCGTCTTCAACTGCAAGGTGCAAGACGATGGGATGAGGCTGTGGTCTTGATCTGGGCCCGGGAACTCACCTTGGAGCGCTCCTTCTGTATCTCCAGGTTGGCATCTTTGTTGACCATGAATATGGGATCGTCGGCCAGTTCGTCTGGTATCACATCCGATTTACCCTCAATAATAAGCATGCGTTCGCGTTCCACTTCTTTCATCTAAGAACATATTAATTTCGTGGCACACAATATCTTTAGTAGAGTTCCCTTGATGACATTACAAGCTGTTAGCCCCAAATATTTGTGGCCGTTTTTGATTAACGATTTGGTTTGTGGTTTATATTAGGGACGAATGCTGTGGTTAATCGCTACAGAGCCTCTTGTTATACCCAGTAAAAGGAGGGTAAAAGAGGTGTGCTACTTTTTCGGAAATATTTGTTAAGGAAAGAACATCTGGATCTCACAGAATATATAAAATCTAAAGCAATAAAACGCCGCTTTAGCAGGTAAATCTCTCTAATATATGAGAATCCTTTGGGTCGTCGTAGTTTTACTCATATCGGCGTTACCGAGGTTGAGCAAGTGAGCCGAACAACCGAAGCGAGTGAGCCGGGGTCGTCGCACGAGCGACTTGGCAGGGGGCTTGCCCTTAGTCTCTACTTTAAAGAGCAAATGGAGGAGTTATATTCCCGTTTCTTTTAGACACATTTTAAGAGACTGTTTACCATTTACAGGATATCTTTTATTCGAAATATCCCCTATAGTGTAGCCTCTTTCTTCATTAAAGATTTGTCTGCGGCTAATATCAAAGCCAAATGTCCCGAGTAATAGCTTCTGAGCCTCTTAGCGGCTGGCAAAGCTTTTATTTTGTCTTTGGTCTAATTTGAGGAGTCCTTGGCGCCCGTTGCTCCCTAAAGAAATGCCTCTTAGCACTCAAGGGCCATTTCCTGACACCTTATACTACTGTCTGGTACTCGTGCCGCATTGCGCAGCACTCGTCAACAGTGCAATTGGAAGCGTGAACAAAGTTAACCTTCTTCGAGGAGCTGCAACTGCATTTAAGGACTCGTATCGGGACGGACAGATCTCTAAGTATCTGTATCCGCAGTGAAGCACAATGTACTTCATAGTTTTGGCCCCCCCCCTCGCATGTCTCACAGACATAAAAGGCGCTCCAAAAGAAGGCTGCTCCAAGTATCTGTACGGACCGTGTATCTGTGTCGGTTTCTGGTCTAATTTTTATTACTTTGACGGCTTGGATTTGCCATTTTCATGTCGGGGGCTCATTGAATTCAATTGTTTGTGCTTTGGAGCCAGGCCCCCCAGAAAATCCCCTCCCCTAAAAGAGGAGTCGCAAGAGAAAAATGAGTGGGCGATGGCGGTGTCGGCGTCATTGAAAAACTTTGGGACACTTTCGCTGAAAAAAGGGCAAACTTGAGAAGGGTAGGCAAGAAAATGAAATCGCAGCCAATAAACAAGTGGAAAATGAAGCAAACAAAAGCCAATCGACTGGGGGATACCTAAAGTACAAGAGTGGGAAATTGTATTTAAAAAATGGAACGAAATAAGAAGGGTAGAAGGTGTCTTTTTAGTGGAAGAAATGTTACCTAAATGGTTAATTGTTCGATGTTATGGAATGAGTAAATATTTATATGTCTATACGGTGTTTATTGAATAAAACTATGGAAGAGTGTATCAGTGGAAAAAGATCAAGGGTCTATAAAGGGAAGATATATTAAAATTAAGTTTAAATAAATATTATAAGAGCTATAGTTCTGGATAGGCAGACATTCCTTAATTCTTATTTGAGGAATAGTTTGTCAATAAACGTCTTGAAAAATCATTCTAGTACTCGTAAAGTTAAGAGCCCCATAAATTCACACAATTAAAACTAGACATTAAACACTTTATGCAATATCTTGAACACCTTGTACCACTTAATAAGTCAATACTCCATAAAAGGAATAGGGAGAGTCGTTACTTGTTACCACAAATGAATCAGTGGATGATATTGTAACTCAAACCGATTCTAAGCTGCGGTTCAACCTCTAAAAGTAATCCTGAAGTGGGAACTATGATTATCTTCATAGAATTTACACATAAAACTCTTCAAAACCCTTCCCTATACCAATTTTGGAAGACTTAAAGTTCCATCTTTCGTTACAAATGCACCCTCAAATCGAGTAGAACCCTTCCTCCTCCTTCATTTTGCTCTTCTACGTGACTCTGGGGCGTCAAATTTGTTTAGGACTCTTGTCTCAGATTCTTTTTTGTTGGGGAACTTTATGAAAATTGAATTACCAACCAAACAAATTGGTCACATTTGTGCGTCGTCCGCTCCCACCTCAAAACTCAAAGCTAATTGGGGTACAAAATAAAGATGTGCCAGATTTGGGTCCTTACCTCGCGGGCCCGGATGCGGGACAGCAGCTGCTTGCGGTAGTCCTCGTCGATGCGTTCCCGCAGCTCCTTCATGTAGGCGCGATCCGTCAGCTTGACCACATTGGTGCCCATGAGGCGCTCCAGTCGGGCGCTAATGCGCGGCAAATTGAAACTGTTGTGGGCGAAACGGAAAGGTGCAAATATAGTAGCAGGACTGGACAAGCGAATATTAATGACCAGGGGTTAATGTGAGTCAATAATTTTTGCCGGTTAATTACAGGCCGAACCTTTCTAATCCTCCCACCGACCGAGTGGCCGCCGGCGCTCTCTCTCTTCTAGGTGGGCGAATCCCACATGGAACCGCGGTCCGCACCGCGTTTTGAGCGCTTGTAACTCCGGGCAACGAATGAGGTCGGGCCGCATATTTTTTGTGTTACTATAGCGTCGTAGCTGTTCATACGCTGCGTTCGCCAACTGCCGCCGCCAGTCAGTCAGACAGTCAGGGGATTTTATTTTATTTTATTTTGGTTGCCAAACACCCGAAACCGACAACACAAGGACAAGGAGCACCGATAGGACACCGCTCCGCCGACATTCGTTGCTCCTCTCCGCCCCAACCCACTCAAACACTCTCTCTAAGGCACAGTGGGGCAAAATCGAAGCTTAAAGGGTTCTTCAAATGCTCAAATCAATAATTGCAGGCAGGATTCTTTGAGGGGAAAGACAGCATCTTTGGATAGAGCTTACAAAGGTTTTAAGGAGAGCAAAATCGTCTGATAATTGCAGTCCCTAGAAGCTTTAAAGGGTAAAGCCAGAGGATAAGTGTTCTAACTAGAATTCACTATATAACAATTACTAAAAGTTTCAAAAACTCTGGGAAAGTTTGTGCTATATTCTTCCATGTCAGAAGGGAATTACCATTGCTTTATCTATATGCAATAGTCACCTTAAATCTGTGTATCTTTATACCCCCAAAACAGCATAGGTCTTTCCATTAAAATCTTAGCTGAGAAAAACTACATAGATATAGCCATGTACCTCTCCCGTTTACTAAAAATGTGATCATTTCACTATACTATAATATTATACTATAGTAGGTCTATCTAAGAGTATTCTCAATATATCCACCATCTATGAGCTATAAAGAAAGTGAATAAACTACAATGGGCTATAGAAATAGATATTACAGATCAAATGCAAGCTATTCAAATGAAAATCTCAAGGAGTTCTATTCCAGAATGACTGCAGTATTTTAACACTTAATTTACACATTCCCCAAAGCGATAGCCTTATATTTTCCCCCAAATTAGTTCCAAAGTAAAGGCATTTATTTTAAATACAACAATTTAAGTTTAGATTGAGTTCTAAAGCTTATCCTCAATTAAAAACCTATAACTTTCGCACCTTCCTTTGGTTCTTTTCCACCCGGCACAATCCACTGTTCCCACGAGCCTGGGGCTCATATTTTCCACATGATATAAACACCAGCCAGCAAGAATAACAAGAACAATATATAACCTCGCCTCACCCGCAGTACTACACCTCCCACCTCCCCAAGCCGACAATTTAGTGTAATTTTAGACATGCAGACTAGAACTCTGAGCTCTAAGCTCTGAGCAATGGATGTGGATGTGGATGTGGATGGGTTTTTAGAAGGAGTACCACTGGGGGGCGGAGGAAGACTGTCTCGACTCGTCAGAGACTTTCGCTAGGCTTTTTAGCAGAATAGCAGACAGAGGAGGGCTCACATGGCGCATTCTTTATATGGTAAATAGGTATTTTATTTCTACATGCCATAAAGGAGTTTAATGCAGTCAGGTCATGAGATGCCGGTGTATCCCCTTGGTTGCGGATTAGTCAGCTCTAGTTAATCATTGTCGTTCAGCTGACAATTAGATAGGGTATAGCCATTGGCCTGATTCGTGGCCACAGGATTGCCTGACTGCGGTTGCCGTTTGGTTCAGAGCCAAGAAATTATCTCTATCGTTTTGGGAGTCATGCATTCCAATCAGAATGATTCTTCTACCCTTTTAAAACACTTTCAACAGATAAAACATTGTAAGCTTTGATGTCTCAACTGCGACTGCGACTGCGATTGCGACGACCTCCGAAAATCGCAATTCGCAATAGTTCAAAGTCGTCAAAGTTCAATTCAATCAATTTCCAATAGGGGACAGACAGGTGGATTCTCCCCCTTTATTTCAGCATTGACATTGATAATGAAATTTCAGGACATCAAAACATCAATGGATGTTGTCGTCGTATCAATAACTTAGGTCGTGTGTCACATGGCACTGGGACTGGAGCTGGAGCTGGGGCTGGGACTGGGGCTGGCGACACATGCATAAATTATCGTCTGGAGTAGGGAGCCTAGAGGAACCAATCTGTCATGTCTGTGTGGCCTACAAGAACGAAACCCCTGCTCTTACGAGCTTCGATTTATGTCCTGCCCAGGCCTTCCTTCCACGACTTGATGAACGGAAGTACTACCTACAGGAGATATCCACCTCGTGGGTGGCGCGTTTTTATTGCAACTTCCGCGTAACCTAACGCGAGTGCAACTCCCATGACATTTGCACTGCTCATCGTCGCCGCATCCGCTCTTCCTGTCACGAATGCTCGCACAGGTGGGCCATGATTTATGGCCCTCCGATTCGCCTTGCAACTTCGCCTCCGTTTCTATGATTATTACACCATTTGCGCAGGAGTTGGGTCGAGAGTGCAATGCGTGGGCTGTCGTTCTGTGAGTGTTCACTGAATGTTCACTGAATGGGTTAACCGCCAATACGTATTTGCCCTTAGCCATTTGTGGCCATATTCCGCTCAATCCCAGGCAAACCATAAAAAATATGGGATTTATGCATGGTTATAGCTGTAGCTGTGGGCCCTTTGGGTTTCAGTAATATCCATTTCCATAGTAAATCTTACGCACTTTATGAACTTGTTTTTTGTATATTCGATCGGTTTTGCATGTACAGAAGATATCAAAAAGGGCTATAACAGGGGACTCTTGGTAACGGAAAGGGTTCTGGAAAGGTATAGGGTTCCCCAAGTGAATACTCTCTTCAGGGGTATAATGAATGAATGGAGAGACCGCTTGCCAGATGTACTTTTAGCTAAAGGGTCTCTCCTTCCTTCCCTACTAGATTCCCTAACGTTTGAGGACATTTCAGAAGAAATGTATAGTCTATTGGTTTCTATTGGCTTTCGTACCATATTTGGGTACTATTTCGGTGAGATTTAAGAACATATATAGTACCTTTGATAGAAAAATACAATTTGTTAAGAATCTTGTCTTCTTTAAGGAACAGTTCCCGGCTTTGAAGTACTTTCCTTTAGTTATAGTCGGTATTTTATTCAGGTTTTTATGTTGTTTAGCTTTTTTGGGGTGTGTTCTGTACTCAGGGACTTCTGAAGTACCTTTATAATACAACCATCACATTTCAATACTACTTTATTTGAGAAGATTTTGTCCCGAACTTTTTTGCAGCTTCATTTCTGATATTCATTTAGGGACAGTCTTATTTAAGATCTCTTCAAACTGCTGGGTTGTAATCCCAGTTCCCATTTATATATAAATCCCTATAGCCCTCCATTACTTTCACTTCTGCTCTTGTTTCTTATATATGTCCTCTCATGGAAATTTTCTAGCCATCTGAGACTCCATTGCAAAGTGACAGAAAAGAAGAGGCTGGTCTCCATCGCATCGATGACATTTATGACTTAATTAGCGACTCTTTTCTTTGGCCTTTTGTGAGGGAAATGGAACCATATTAGTTTACAGCCTGGCTCTTCGTCATCGTTGTCATTGGCTAATTGAAAGGGAACTATAAAACTTGGGAACAGGAGAACTTCCTTCGTTTGGCAGGATGCCCTGCAAGTGTGTGCAACGCTAATTAATGCCTGGGACGTGCATAAATTTACCGAAGAGCCTGACATTTATGCCCTTTGCCATTCGCCATTCGCCATTTTGCCATTAAAATTGATAATTGCCCCACGTAGAGGGGCGACAATAAATATCCCCAGGATGCTGAGTGCCGAAGAGGCGCAGTGGGTGGAATATTGAAATGTGATTCTCTCGTGGGAGATCCTTTGTCGCGGGATTTACCTCGATTCCGGCTCCAGATTGCACTGCACAAAGTCAATGAGGAAATCCTCCTCGATCTGGATCTCCCTCAAGTGCGAGTGTTTTCGTATACGTTTCTTCTTCGATTTCGTGGACATCTTTGGTCAACTTTGGCCTCAAGGAGGCACTGGCACGTTAGTCACTCATTTTTGCACGGGGATTCAACGCGGGACGACTGGCTTATGCGGGAGGAACTTGGCGGAACTTTCACGGAACAAAGGCGACCGGCGAATGGGACGACCTTTGACTGGGATTCCTGGTTTTGGTGCCGCTCGTGGCACACATGTGTGTGGCGTCGAGTGGCAGACGCCAGCTCCCACTATGCTTCACTTTTACTTTTACTTTTGCTGTCGGCGTCGCCGCCGCCGACGCCGTCGCCGTTTCGCCCTCTCATGCCGCATGGCTTCGCGTTTCAGTCAGCCCCGATTTCAGTCCTGGCATTGCCTTTCCAGTTCTGGCATTGTCCTGGTGGTAGTCCCATCGCATGTTGTTGTGCGGGAACCCAGCGTAAAGCGTTTAATGCTAGGCGTAATGACATGACACCATGTCAATATAATGACAAAGTATACGACGCAGTGTGTCAACAAGTTCCCCATTGTACGACCACATACACTGGCGAAAGATTTGTGGACTCTAAAGGAAGTCCACAAGCTTTAAAGGATTGGTGGAGATGGCAACTGTTAACAAAGAGAGCTCATTTTTAGTAGGCATGGGGTTTAGCCAGACAGGAGGTGATATTTAAAAAAAAATCCACCATTAATGGTGCAATGGGAACTTGAAGTCACCAACCCTGGGGTGAATGAACCAGTAGGTGCTGTTATGAGCGTGATGAACGAGGTATTTTTTGATAATTACAGAGAGAGAAGATCGCTTGACTCTTCTACAGAGTATCTGTCGCTCGTTTTGGTGAGGAAGAGGATTCAAAGATGTTTTAGTCTTTCATTTGTTTAAAATTACTTAGAGATTGTGGAAGGAATTTCTTTTAATTTTTGTAATCCAACAAAAATCAGAAAAATTAGATATCCTCTATCTAAGATTGAATTAGG